CAAAACCGTAAAGATCATTTATCCAACATATGTTATTCCATACATTATCCTATACGGCATACTTTTTGAATCATTAATCATCGAAAAACTAGAAGGCACAAAATTATTTAATTTTGCTCAGTGTTTTCTCCTTTTTAAGATACCAAAATTATTGTCAAACAAAAATACTTGAGACATTATTTTTTCAGCGAAAATTTTGCATTCGTGATAATTTCAGTAATCATAATATGTGTTAACATAAATCATGCTTACTTACTTGTAACCCCAAGAAAAACCATTAAAGGGAATCATGATTACAAGCAATCGAAATCTATGATATGTAACTATAGCATATGATTACAAATATTTATGATTAATAATCTAAAGACTACAAATGATACCCTGGATACACATTTTCATAATGTAAATATACCGTACACAACTAAAATGGGGTGAAGCCTCTGAGCTGTATCATTTTTAGTACTTATATATGTCTTATATTTGTAATCGAGATTGTAAGTATTCATTCATTTCTTATCAAAAGGTCTAAATGCTATTTCTTAACTAAATCAGTTTAAAATTTTAACAATGAGGACTTCGTTAAAAATATTATCAATTGATTGATCTCGATTTATGCAAATAATGTTGCATGAAACGACGTTAACGAAGTAAATTGAAGAAATAGCGAATTAGCAAAACAGAAAATAAATGATTCACTCCTTATTTATAAACCAAACTGATTTATTGACTTGTATTCATTAGCACCCTCAATTATTTATTCATTTATTTATTGATATAATTATTCATTATTTCGCTCAATCATCAATTTCCTGATATATTAGTTATTTTATTCATGGATTTGCTGACGTGATTCTCTCATTTGTTGATAATCAAAAACATCTATTCTTTGGTTTCTTGCTTTGCTGATAAATTTATTTGCCCTTTCATTGATTGTTAATTCTTTGACTCATTGATTTGCTGATTCGTCGACTTATTGACTCCTCACTATTTTGTCAATTCCTTGATTCCTTCAGTGTTGTATTGATTTTCTCATTATTTGATTAACTTATTTGTTGATTAGTACAATTCTTGATTTGTTTTTTTCTCGTTAACTAATCTTTTGATTATCTTATTCATTGATTCACTGATTCGTTAATTTCTTGAAGTTTGATTCACTAAATGACTGGTTCATTGATTCGCTTAATCGTGACTTCGCTGATTTTATTATAACGATTATTTCTTTTTTCTTTGTGTAACTGATCATTGGTTTGTTAATTTTTTTTTGTCTCATCTGCTGATTCATTGTTTCACTGAATTATCGATTCACTTACTCACTAATTTGTTGATTATAACATTCATCTTTTCGGTATTTTTTATGATTCGTTTGTTGATTCGTTCATTTGTTTGTTGCTCCTTCGTCCGTTGATTAATCTAATTGCTCATTTATTTGCTTCTAAGTGTTAATAATTTTCATGAGGTGTACTTATTGCTTCACTGATTTGCTGATTCTCTAATTAGTTGAATTTTTGATTTGCTCATACTGTAATGGATACATGCAATTAAATTTTCCTTATACTCTCTTCGTATAATGGATCTTTTCTCTTCTTTCGATTTTCTTCTCGTGCTTTTTCGAATAATCAATATAGCATTTAGTCGAAGAACAAACTTTCGAAATTTACCATTTTATGTCAAAATTCAACTTAATAATTTAGTTAAACGACTAAGATAAATTATATTTCCGGGAATACGACTTTTTGACGATGTGAGTGCTTGAGAAGTTGACTGATTTAAGAAACCATTCACACTGCATTTAGGTTGCCTAGATTCGCATACGAAAAAATCGCATGAGAAAGAGAGCTTGATTGAGAGTAATTCACGGTTAAATATTTTCCTCCCATTTGATTTGGATCTCATTTGTGTGCGAAAAATTCACATATGCGAATAAAAACTTGATTGGCAAAATACATTTAACCTAAAAAAAACTCACAAATCAGGTTCTCGTTGGTACCTTTGAATTGCATACGCATTTCTTACTCATGCAGTGAAATTGACCCTTAAACCTTGTTTCCACTATAGCAGGTTTAAAGGACAATTCATATTGAATGCGAAAAATTCGAGTTTGCGAACTCGGAGATGCGATTGAGAAACTAATTAATCATACATATTTACACACGAAAGGCTTGTCATTTAGGTTTCCATCACATCTTCGAACTCACATAAGCGATTTTTTTTTTCCGCATGCAATGTGACTGTCCCTAAAGAAGCAATCGCATCGAATGCATTTGCTGCTCCTCCAATCAATGTCGGGAAATTGGAGATCGAAATGAACAACAAGTGAGACAAGCATGCTTTCACCATAGGGGTATGGACAGTCATAGGTGATGAAAGAACGTTAGTTTCAGTCTTGATTTTCAAATGGATTAAAAACTTTTAAGTTAGGAAACTGTATGGAACTCAAAACCGCATTAAACCGAGTTCTTAAAGAAAGAATCGTGGAAATTTTAGAAATAATTTATGGATGGTTGATTTGATTTGATTTGATTTGTTCATTTACGTCGCACAAGAGCTGCACAATGGGCTATTGGCGACGGTCTGGGAAACATCCCTGAGGATGATCTGAAGACATGCCACCACAATTTTGATCCTCCGCAGAGGGGATGGCACCCCTGCTTCGGCAGCCCGACGACCTGCACGTGAAGTCAAGCACTTTACGGTAAAACAGTTTAACGAGGACCAATACCGCACACCCTCGGTCCCTACGTAGACTGATCCAAGTGGTCACCCACCCGCACACTGACCGCAGCCAGTGATGCTTGACTTCGGTGATCTGCTGGGAACCGTGTCTTAACGATCAGTCAACTGCGGGACTATGGATGGTTGACAGAATATAAACAATAACAAGCTTCCTAAAACCCTATTAGAGAAATATATTTTATATGAAAAACTCACCAATTAGTTGCCCTTTTATTCTGGAAGGCGAGAAGTAGGAAGTTTTATTGTTTGGGGGTTAAAGGTTGTAAATTGTTTTACTGTTGATTTTTATTGATTCAATTCATAATTTTTAACTGACATAATTAGTCTTTATTTTGGTCGGTACTTTATGGATGGTTGACTGAATGTAAAAAAATAATAATATTTCTAAAATCGGAAGAAGTTTAGAAAATTTCCGGTGTATCACTCAGTTTATGTTATGCTTACAAGGCGATATGCGAACGGACTTAATATTCTTGGAAGTTTTATTATTGTGATTTTTGTTTAAATTTACACGTAATTTAACCATTCATAAGAGTTTTCTGTGATTTATAAATTCTAACAGGTTTAACAAAATTAAAATTACAACCATAAATAAAGTGCAAGTTTAATTATGTTTTGAGTGTTGTCCCCTTATTTGGTTACATTTGTGCAGTGCGTTTTTTAAAGCTTAGCCGTAAAATTCAATCGGAAAGAGTTACGCGAAATCTTACATTAAATTTTAACCCCTAGCTCCATTTGCGCTTAGCTTTACAGGATCAACAATCCATTTACGTAGCTCTAGAGCTGTACAGTGAGCTATTATCGACGGTATGGAAGGGACTGAAAGAAAGTTTATGGTAGAGCAGTTTAACAGAGACCGATATCGCTCACCCTTGGTTCCTACGCAGGCTAATCAAAGTGTTTGCCCGCGTCTTACTGACCACAGTCAGTGTTGTTTGACTTCGGTGTTCTACTCTGAACCGTGTCTCTACGAACAGTCTTCTGCAGGACTGTTATTTTAATTAGATTTATTTTAAATATTTCTTTCTGGGAATTTAACTTGAAAAAATTTGAAATCTCAAATTGGCGATAGCAACGCTCGAATGCGCCATCTGGGGAGAGACCAGTTTCAAGCCTTTGGCTCTTCTTCCTTCCCTCTCCTTCTCTTTTCAGTTGTAAAGGAATGTACTACGATATTTTCCCATTCCTTAATATTTTTCCTTTTTATTTAATAAAAATATTTCTTAAAATTACCGTGATGCTTTTCTTTAGAACTATGTTTAATGTAGTTTTCAGTTCCATATAGTTTTCCAACTTAAAAGATTTTAATCTATATGAAAATCAAGAGAGAAACTAACGTACTTCCTTCCTCTATGACTCTCCAACTGGGAAAAGCATGTAAAGTATTGCCATAGGTAGAGAGTTTTGCTCTACGCCACCTGCAGCTCATTTCGATTGCCAACCGATTATACCGAAGCAGCGGTGTCATCCTCTCTGCAGAGGATCAAAATTGTGACGGCATGTCTTCGGATCATCCTCAGGGATGTTTCCCAGACCGTCGCCAATACCCCAAATGTGCAGCTCTAGTGCGTTGTAAATGAACTACAACAACGATTGCCAATAATAATAAAATACAACTACGATTTTTTCAAACTTAGAGAATATTCCTGCTGAATATGATTTAATCGCTCTAGTTTAAATGCACCAATTAAATTCTCATTGCAGAGTTGGAAAATGCTTTGGTTTAAAATGTTAAAGGGGATTAACGAGGAACTATTTCGGGCTCCGATCATTATCGAGAGGAAAAATTGTCCGTGGTAATTTTTCCTGGGAAAATATATTCTAATAATCATGTTTTAATATTCCCTCGAGGCCTATCAGAGGGGCTGGAATCGCATGCAGTGAAAATGTCCATTCAAGGTATAATTGAAGGGTCATTGTTATCAGTGACAATGACCTTTCAATTAAATTATACCTTGAATGGCCATTTTCACGATTCGCACATTTCCGATTATCTAATAGAAAAATATTTTCACCAATCAGGTTATCATTCTTCTTCGAATGTAATCGGAAATGTGGGAACTGCACTTATTGAGAATGGCTTTTGAGCTTACCAGTTGTCCGAACGCTTAAGCTTTTCTCAACCAGAGGAAATTTCGCCAATCAAACTGTCCTTATTTCCCGAACGCGTGTATAGTTGCGTAAATCAGAACTAGTGAGAATGGCTCTGAAGTAAAAAACGAATATATGAAGGCTCGAATCTTTGAATTTGATTTGTAGAATAACATTCCACGCTATAACGGAAATCCCATCCTGACCTACATTTCGATACAAACATTTTGGCAACATTATGTCCATAGCATCCGTAATCGTCGCGTATTTTGTTTTGTTTTCTTTTTTCTGTTGCGAAATTCGAAAGATGATCCGTTTATTTACCATTAAGGACACATTTTTGTCTACTTTTGTCTGTTAAAAAAATTATTCTGAAATTTTTCTGCCAATTAATTAGTTACAATACATTAATTACTTATACTTATTGCTGACTAATGCGCAATAAAAAGTATATTTTGAATTTGGCCCGAGGATGACACTCGTAACTCAGTGACCGTATATTTGAATCATCAATACTATGAATCTCAAAGCTTGATGCATATTTGTCGTTACCTGGTGCATCTGCGGTAATGGAGGCAAGAAGTAGACGAAATTTAGAAGATGAAAATGACAGTGTTGTGATTTGTAGTAGTGCATCGTATTGTTATTTTACTCTTTCAATACTATTATTTTCAGTTGGAACTGTCATTACCATATTAGCGCTTGATGAACACGAGGGAGTATTTTCAAATTTAACTCATATGTGGCTCGTTGGACCACTTTTTATCAGCTCTGGTCTTATGGTGGCTGTCAAAACTATTATGTATTTGAGAAAAGAAACTATGATTATGTTCATTACAAGACAGAGAACTTTACTCAGAGTAAGTTTATTTTTAAAATTAATCTCTATAGAAATTTACTCTTTTGTTCTGTTTTAATTTTATATAAGGGGAGACGTACATAAATGATGTTACTTTTTTTCAATATTTTTAAACCTCCTTTCTCTTTGTTAGAATTTGTCAAACTTCACTTTTAACCCCTGCTCTTCAACAAGTCAAATGCTTGAAAATCGAAAATAAAGCACTGCATTATAGATATTTAAAATTTTATTATTAAGTTCATACTAGTGCGAGAAATAAGTTTTTATTACAATTAGCATTAAAACCAGAAATGCTTTTAAGATACTTCTTTTCAACTTTTTCTTTCTAATAGGGGACATATTTCGCAATACACTACCTGCCCCCCTACTACATTTGGAGCTGGAACAACTGTTAAAACTTCAGTTTCACTAAGTTATATATTTGATCAATTGTAAAATGACCAGAAATAAGAGCTCTCTCATAATTGTTGAACATTTTCTTTATTAGAAGCTGTAGCTCTTGTGAAGCTGTTGTTTTCCGGTTTTCTTAATGTAAGCTGTGGGTGACGCTGTATAAAACCTTTAACCCAGTCAATTCCAGACATTTTATTTTTGTCCCAGCTATTTGGAATTTTAGAGTTGAGACGCTTTGCATAATCACAGGCAAGTTGTCGAACTTGCCTGTGAGTTAGACCATAATTGAGAATTGAACATGTAATTATGTATTCACAAAGCAAGGTTTCTTGATTGGCATCAAAGACTTGTTGACTTGTGTATTTAGAACTGTAGCATTTTGTGTTAGTTGTACATTGTTTGGTTTCATCAACCAAACAATTATTTGACTTTCTTTTTTTTAATTTATAAAATAAAAAAGTCCATTTCAAATAAGTCTGCTGTTGCTCTTAAAGACGCACTATTTCTAACAGCTTCCATTGCTTTTTCAATGTTTTATTCACTAACTTCTGGTTTAGTACACTTATTTTTTTAAATATGTTCACACCATTTTTATAAACTGTAAGAAGGTGAAATAACAGGATTGAGCCTTTTATTAAATATAATGTTACATTATAAGCTTTTCAATTTTTTTGAAATTAAATTATTTTTATTTTAAATAAAATTTTCTTGAATATTTTTATAAAATTTTTAAATAGTTTTTTTATCGACTCGTTTAATGAATTCCTTATTAATAAATTCTATTTTCAACAACAATGCAACTAACTGAATCTTGATTTTAAGCTTTAAAAAAAAATTAATATAGTTGAAAAATTTTATATAAACATGTTTCCTTGAACACATTCACATGTTTTTCAAAGAGTTTAGACTAATGCCTTGCAGAAAAAGTTGAGTATTTTAAATGTAACAACCATAATTAATGGGCTTTTTGCAGACTAATGACTTCTGCAAGATTACTTAACAAAAAAATAATAAGCCCGGGGCACCTTTCAACACTGTTGAAATCTGCCCCTGGTACAGATATTTTGGTTAAAGTATTATCAAGCACTTTAGAAAAAGACTTATTACTAATAAATAATGCAGTTTGAAGCTGAATTAACTAAACTGGTTGATGAATAAATATAAATTACCTTATTAAAAGATTACTGGTAGATAAACAGTTTTAAAATCAAAACTGTCTTTTTACTTTTGGAATGTTAAAACATGTTCCACAGAGTAACACAACAGTGGTAAAAAGAAAGTGATTAAAACTAAATGTCATCAGTTAAGCATAATTAAAGGTTATTGTCTGTCATATTGGCCAATCATTAAACAATATTAGAAGGCAAAAATTCTAGTTGTTGTAAGGTGCCCAAGTTGAAATGTACCCCCCTCTCCTTACAGGGAATTTTTTTTTCTCCAGATTTGAGTGTCAACCCTGATAAAGCACCCATTTGAAATGCCGGATTCAAGTGTCGTATTAATACATATTAAAATATACAGGACTTTCAAAACCATGTGGAAATGCGTATTTCCTAAAAAACAAATGGAAAAATAGTTTGGATTTACAATAAAATTGAAAAAAATGAAGCATGTCAAAAGTTATTCCTATTTTCCAATTCTCGAATCGTTCTAATATCATGTTAAAAAGATTGCGAATTTAAGAAACACATGGAAATCCGACAATAAAGCATTCCAAAGCACGATTGAGTCACTTGGATTAAATGGGCACAAATGAAGAACTTCAAAAATGATAACTAAAGTATGAAATTCAAGCATTACAATAATGTTGTACTGAAGATATTGGTATTTTTAAAGCTGAATCGAAATTTTAATAATTTTTATCGCTATGGATCAGTGATAACCACCGAATAAAAGCAGTAGAAAAACTACATTAATTTAGACTTGGTGTTTAAAAAACATAACTGCGCAATTCCAAATTTCTGATTTTTATTTTCCAAAATAACTTATAATAGTTTATTATTATTATTTTTATGTTCAAGTACGACAGCGGAGCGCACATCAAGAGCTGGCGGGATGCAGGTGTAGAGTATAATTTCTGGATAGTGCGCCCTTCTGCAACGCGGTTTTGTTATTTAGGCCACTGCTAAAGTCAATTTACAAAAATTCTTTGAAAGCTGAGAGACTTGATGATTTGCTCAGAATTTCTATAACTAGCCCCCTCCCAACAGAGTTTGATTGATACTAGGCCTAAATTTGATACATTTTTTTTAGTGGTGAAAGGTAGCGATATACAACATGTAAATATTTAAAAAGTATGTAAATATTTCTATTGTAAATAATGTCTTAATTTTCTGATATTTTTTATATTTTAATGATATGTAGATATTAAGAACAATTGAAGCCTTTTTTATGCAAATATGAGTATTTTTTAAGCAATAGAGGTGGTTCACTTTTATATTTTCTTCATTTTTGTGGGGTTTTGGTCACCAAATAGTTGTTTATGCTAGATTTGGTTAACATTTTGAAAGTTGTTTATAACATTATTGTTATTAGCATGAAAATAGCATCGAGCAAAAGTTTTAGTCTGGCTAATACTTTAGAACTAAAATTACATGCCCTGTATTAGCATATTGTTAAACTTAAAGCTTCACTATATAAAAATAAATGGAAAAAATAATTTAGTTTTTTATTTAATATCAAACCAGTAGTACTAAAACCTATTTCACTTTTACTATTTTATGACAGCCAATTTATTATTTTTATTTCTCTTCATCATTCCATTATTTGTAAATATTTTTTTAATTGAAAAAATAGATATTTCATTAAAATTTGTAATTATTCATTCGATAAATATCTATAAGAAGTTTTTATTTTATAAAATTTGGTTAATTATAATGCTATATATTGTAAATTGCTAAATAATTTTGAAATATGAGTTTTCATATTGAATACAAGCAAAGGAGAAAAATGATGTTTTTTGAAAACATTGTTAAAAAAGTCTTAATGAAATAAACTTTTGAATGGTTTTGAATACTTTTAATTTCGGGCCTAAATACAAAGGAAAATCAATGAAAATATTAAACAAAATTATCTGAAGAAAGCAAAATTTTATTTTTTAAAAGTAAACTTAAGAGAATTTTAATTGAAACATGCATTACACTTTTTCAATCTCAGGAACTCTCTCCTTCATTTCCAAGCATGATTTCATTTGTGGACATCCCCATTATAAAAATAATTTGTGTCCTTTTTTTATATTAGACTGTATGATATATTGTTATAGCATGTGATAAAGTTTTATAGCAATATAACATATTACAAGAGTTGAATAAAAAATTTTATTTCTATTTTACACAGGGTTCGTTGATTTAAATCAGCTTGATTAAAATCACGATTTAAATCATGATTTAAATCAAATGATTTTTTTAAAAAAATCATTGATTTAAATCAACTAATTTTTTTTATCTATATATATTGATTTTAGAAGTCAAAAAACAGTGTTTTAAATTTTTGATACTTTTATTATTTTCTTTTCTTAGTATTAAAATTTAATTTAAATAAATTGCTGCAGTAATTAATTTTAGTTAACGAAATTACTTTCTTGGTGTGTGTTAAATTCCAACACATTTGAAATTACATTTTTAAAAATGTTTTGATTCTTGAGATTGAAAGTACAGATTAAAGTAAACATTTAATGCTGTCTTAATATAGACTTGCATAGCTGTAGAAAGTAATTAATAAACATGAATTTTTTTCAAAAAATAATACAAATAATGTTAATTAAAATTCTACCTTTTGAATGAAAAAGCGTGAATTAAAATCTACATCATATTTTATTGGTGGAAAATGTATATTTCTGAAGCTTGAGGTTATATTAAAAAGAAATTACCCTAATATGCCAAAAACAGAAAAAGAAAAAAAAAGGGCTGATGAATTCAGATGTTTTTTTCCTAATATAGTGTCATTCTTCCCTTTCAAACTCTTTCAAAGTCTATTTGATGCAGTAGGGTTATTAACTGGTATTTTTTTCTCATAATATGTTTACAGTATCTTTGACATTATCTGATTTTCTATAAAGAAATTTTGTGAAAAAAAATTCCAATGAGTACATAGATTTTCTAATTTTTTTTTTTTTTAGCTTGACTTATCTATTTTGATATAGAATTAAAAATGAATATTTTAATATAAAAATATATAGATTAAATATGGATTTATTTTTTGATGAATGACTACATTTATAAGCACAGTTTGCTACATTTATTTTGTCATTTCAAAATTCAAGAGAAGAAAAAAAGAAATCCCAATTTTAAATTAAAGTTATGGTTTTCTAACTAAAACTTTATTTTAATAGTTAAAGTACAGGGGTCTGTCCAAGCCAAATTTACTACCGTTTAACGGTACCTTAACAAATTCAACTTTAGGAAAAACGATAGAATAATTACACAAAATACTTTTTCCTGAAATTTTATTTTTGTGTCGCGTAAGAAACGATAAATCCATATTTTTACTATATTTGTGTTGATTTTTTAATATAATTTTTAATTTTCACAAAATAGGTACCTCTCAGAAAAACCCAGACAGACCCCTGAAGTATTCTTTAAATTCTCTATTTCATCTAGTCTTTAAATTTTAATCATGCATTTGTTTCAAAATGGTTGCTATGCATTCAAAGCCATGTATTATAATGAAAAATTATTTTAGTTAGAGCTTCTAAAATATTGTTGCAATATAGTTTTAATATTAAGTTAATTTGATTAAACATTTATAATTTTTTTATTCATAAATTAAAGTTCTCACAGTGTATATGAATAAAAATCAAAAAAATCTGATTTAAATCAAAAAAATCCGATTTAAATCAAAAATATCTGATTCTTTTGATTTTTTTTAAAAAAATCAAAAAAATCACGAACCCTGATTTTAAACTTGACTTTGCTTTCTTTTTTTAGGAGTTTCATTATCCAACATTAGAAGCTTCATGTAGCAGGTAAAATAAATTATGTTAGAATTTTTCTTATGTATAAATTGTTCTTTGCCAAAGTTTTATTTATTTTTTTTATCTTTTTAAATTAATTTGTTTTTGATAAATATATAGTATAATATTATTTTTTATGCGCATTTTAAATCTTATAATTTATTTTTATCCTTGAAGATATGTAATCTATAAATATTTAACAATTATTTGGGCAAAGTTTTGTAGTATTTACATTTTTTATTTAGCAAATTGAATATACAAAAAATGCTTTTCGTAAAAAAAATTTCTTGCATTATTTGTATTAAATTTAGCAGTTTTAGAATTAAATACAGATTTTCAAGTCTGATATCAAGATTCTGATTTTGAAGTTAAAAACTAATTTAAATGATCAAAAACTTAGTCGCAAAATCATAATGCATGTGATGTTTTTTTCTTTTTCTTCCTTTTTTTTTTGTTAAATTAAAAAACATTAATTGTCTAAAAATCAAAAATGGTTTAAAGAAGTATAAATTTTAATGTAACAAAATCATGTAATAATGTAATAAAGGAAACTGTCCTGCAAGTAATTTGTCTTTCAAATTTAACGTTTCAAACTTGTTTATTTATGCAAAGGAAATGTTAAATTAAGGAATTACATTAAAAAACTAAAAAATTTTACATTAAAAAACTAACGCATGCCTAGCACTAAAATTTTTTTTTTTTTAAATTTAATTACATGTTCATGGTATTGCATTTTATTAACTCAACAGTGATTTTGCGCATAGTTGTCCCTTGTTATCATCCTAAATGGTTGTGCACAAAGAAAACCTCACTCTATATTCAATCTACAAACGATCTTGCATGTTGAAAAAGTCTGGTTTTTCTGCACCAAGACACCCACCTATTCAAAATTAGATAGGAGAAAAGTCACCCATAATATCACAGTTTTCTAATTGGAGGGGAGAAGAATTAGCCTGAACTGCAGTTGTAAAAGAAAAAAATAAAGGTTAACATTTGGAAACAGTGAAAATGAAAATTTTTCAAGTTTTAAAATTGAGTGTTCAAATTGTTATTTAAAAAATTCAGTAAATTCTTAAATTTTACTGAATTGACTTTTCAACGAGTATGTTTTTTCCCCTCTGTTCTCATATTATACATTATTTTTTAAGGAGCTGTAATAATCTTACAAGACCTCCATCATATGATACTATCATAGGCAGTGCCCAGCAAACTTCGCAATTAATTTTAGACCATGATATTAACATGAATATTGATAGTGATGGATCAAGTATTGAAAACCCACCTCCAAGTTATGAAGAAGCTGTGCTTCTTATCAATCAAAACTTCACTGTCTTAACTGAACAAAATTAGAATCTCGTTTTGTTGTTACTAAAATTTTTGTTGTTGTTTGGATATATATTCTAGAATGCATTATTTATAGTATTTTTTTGCTTTTGTTATTTAAAATGAAATTTTTATTTTATACACATACACAGAATTTTTATTTTATACACTGAACTTGCTTATTAGGGAAATTGTTAGATAGAACGAAAATATATGGATTACATGTTTAATTGTTTTTAATTTGGTATCAAAATTGCAAATTCAAAACGCATTTGAAGTGATGAATTGTTAAAGGTTTCAGAACATCTTTGGACACATTGAGATTTCTTTGTAAAAATCTTATTTTAGCATTATTTGACTGCATAGTATGTATTTATTTTGTCAACATTCTATAAATTTAATAGATCTCAGTGGGTGAAGGTACTAAGTAACAATCTTTATGTTTTCGAAGTGTAAAAAAGTTCCATGTATATTTGAAAATGAATTAGTTTGATGAGAAACCCTGGAAAACCCTTTGGCAGCTAGTTATTTAAATACCAAGAGTAAACGCTATACAGCTAACAGTTTAAATGAGTGTTAGAGATTTGTGAATTTTTGCCAATTTAAAGCTTATGGACAAGAGATAAAGGCAAAGCATAATTTTTATTTTCCTTTTACCAGTGTATAAACTTCAAAGCTATTTCTAACTCAGATAAAATAAAAAGCTTTCTGCAAACAAAATCTTAGTTAAAAAACTTTCTGCAAGCAATTGATGAACTCTTGTAACTAGTTTTATTCCCTTTGTCATCACCTCATTTTGATGAAATTTGTTTTATAATCAAATTTTTTTTTTTGAAAAAATCTTTTAATTTTTATAAAACTTTATATTGATTCATACCGCATTGATGATTTTGATAAAATAAGAAAATAAAAAGTTTGAAATAGAAATTTAAAAATTTTATGTGCCAAGATACTTTTCAAATAATTGAAAAAATACCTGAAATTTCAGCTAGAAAAATTTGTATGTAGAAAGCATTTTTACACTGAATGTTATCAATGTTTTAATAAAAATATTGTTTCGAGATTTTATTTATCTATTTAAATGTGTGATTATGAATCTCAATGTTTGATTTTAAAATTGCGTGAATACGAATCTCGACGCTTGGTGTTAAAAATGCGGGAATACGAATTTCGATGTATAATATGTTAGTCGCTTGAAAACTAATTATAATAATGACTTTTAAATAACAATAATATGAAACGCGATATTGTCATAGAATCCTGGAAATACAAAACATGCTGTACAATCTTAGATCACGTTAATACGAATTGCGAAGTTTAGAAGAAAATTCTTATATCAATTTCTGCCAAACTGACCTACCTGCGCGTTAAGATAAGGAAATTTTGACCCCCTTTTTTTCTTTTTAAGTAAAACCGGAAAAAAATTTCCCCGGTCGTTAAATATTTTTTTCAAACAGGGTTTGCGTGTTCATTTATATTATGCATATCTGGCTATTTATTCAATGCACTAAAATAGAACTTGGAACCTTTATCCACTTAGGTTATTATTTTTTTTTACAAATTGAATCACACTGTTGCAAAACTTTTTATGTCCCATCCAGACTAATTTTGCCTGAAGTAAAATAGAATACCACTGAAATGATCTTATACCTGCCTTCATTCATCAATTGGTTCTCAATAGCAACAAGAGTGAATATTAAAATAAAATAGAAAAATAGGAATGGGTGCCAGTAGTAACTGAACAATGTAAACAATTCACACTCTCCAAAGGACAGCATATCTAGTCCAGCCTCACAGCTTAGATAATTTTATAACTTCTGTTACTGACCTTATGTTCTGCCCTTTTTTTTACGGAAAATAAAATTGGCTTCTGTTGTAGAAGTTATTTTCGATTAAAATTTATTTAAAAATAAGTTCTGTATCTCTTGAAGTAAACAAAAGCTATTGAGTTTTGCAACTGGGCAACCAACTGCTTACTATACTTCCTGTAGTTTAAGAAATATTTACATATTCATGTTTAAATTATTTTTAAAAGTAAATTCTGTTAAAATGTGGATTAAAAGTGTTTACCTACTTCAAATGGTTATCTTTTTGCATTATTTACACCTTGTGTGCTTTATGTATCTGGGAAAATTTGTACGGAATTTTCCAGGTTTTGTGCACTTTTCCATTGAATAATATAGGAAAGACTTCTTTGTTTTGCTCTGCAGAAAAGCAAGCAGGTTGAAGTTTGAAAAAGCTGCAACTAATGTATAAATGGTTAAAGGGAAAGTCTGTGACTGCATGTGACTGATTCAATATTTTAATTTTAGATAAATTTTTTGGACAATGCGATCTAAATTTTTTAACATCAATACCTAAAAAATCTGTGAATTGGTTTTAATTTTTTTCTTTTTACTATGCAATCAAATTAATTTAAATGTACTATTCTAAATTTCGTCAGCTATATCAAAACTAATTATCCCTTTAAAATTCATTTGTAATAAAAAGTAAGATGGGCTATATGTGTTTTCTTAAAAATATGCATATTAAATCAAGAAATTTTTGACAGAATTATACAATAAAATTAATCCTTAAGCAATATTTAGAGGGTGATTTAAATTCACTAGCTTTGAAAATATTTTCAGAATAATTTTTTGAGAACCAGCATGTTTTTCATTGTGTCTATAAGACTGTATTTGAATCTCTTTCTTTTTTTTCTCCCTTCAGTATGATTCGCTAAAAATTAACTAGGAAGAGAATAACCTCAAACATCATGATTTTGTGCTAAATATTCTTGTTTTTCTTCTTTTTTCTCCCTTTTTCTTATCATATCACATATATTGCATTTCTAAATAGCATCATACTTGGTATTGTTTGATTCATCCCCTTAAATGAAAATTAGCATTTATTTTATATGTTATACTCAAGATATGTATTATTTTTATTAGGGATGTAACGATTATTCGGCAACTATTCAGTATTCGGCCCTTTTGCTGAATGATCGGTTGGCTGAATGTTTGGCTAAATATTCGGCCAAGTATTTTATTTTTTGAAAAATATGTTTCAACAAGCTTTTTTTATTGGAATTTGAGTAGATTTAATAAAAAATAATCTAAAATCCTATTTTTTACTATACATCATTAGAAATTGTTTTTACACATATTTGTTAAGCTCTAAAAATTCTGGGAGGCAAATTGAAAGTCGATATTTAATACTAAATCACGAGTTTTATACTTTTGATTTTTTAAAGATTATTTTCAGGCAAGTCAATTTTGTCGTTTTTTCAACACTTTTTGTATTTTGAGGGTTAATAACGTTTTTTTTTTTTAATTTCATTTTTTCTATTTTTATTATTGTGTGACATTTTAACGGAGCATCTCTAATAGACTTAATTCTATTACCGTCACTTTTTTCCTCTATAATACGACAGATAAACGGTAACACAAAAAACTAATTTTCGACGCTAAATTATATTTTAAGAATGATCTTTTTCTGTTTCTCTTTTGCTTTTTTTCAACGTTTTTATTATGACGTTTTTTTATAAGCGTTTCTAATTAACGTTATTATTTTACTGTCACTTTTTTCTAGAAATAGGTCAAATTAAAAAAAATGTTAAATTTAGATTTTTAGCATTAAATTTTTTGTTTAAAAATTAAGAACAATATTTCTTTTGGTTTCTGTCTAGCTTTTTCTTTTTTAAAAAACTTTTGTTTTTATCAAAGTTTTTATTATGATGTGGCAATTGAGAGGATTTCTATTAAACTTTATTCTTTCTTGAAAATACAGTAATTGGAAAATGGAGATGTTTAGCTTTAAAAACTTCTTTTGAAAATTGAGATGGATTTTTATTTTTTCTGTTTCGCTTTTGCATATAATCTTTTGTTTTTATAAATGTTTTTATGATAGCGTGGCATTTTTAAAAGAGGTTCTGATGTTAGGGAACTATAATTTTGTTAATGTCTTATGAATACTTTTTTTTCCCGGAAATTATTATTTTTAGCATTAAAGTTTCGATTTTTGAATAGTTTTTCCTTTTTCTCTTTTTTCAACTTAACTTTAGTTTTTTTTATACAGCTATTTTGCAGTTTTTATTTTTTTTTAGATTTTTCCTAAATATTTCTAATGGATAACTATTATAGATGTTTTCCCTTTACCCCATGCCAATAATATAGCTAAGTTTTAATTAATTTTCAATTATGATTAAAAAAATAATATTTATGAATGATTTTTAAAAAAAAAAATTTGCTAATCGATGGCCAAATATTCGCTATTCGGCCAATATTTTTGGCCGAATATTCAGCTAAATCACTGCTGCTTGTCTAATTTTTATAATCATTTACTAATTAGGTACTTGATTAGAGTTGCATTTCATTGTGTTTTATTTTTACTTTAAGAATATTTAGATGAAACATTACTAAGCTGCTGGACAGTTTCAAATAATTCTGCCATTATATTGTTTTTATCTTTTATGAAATGTTTATAAACTTCTACATACATCCAGAGTTATATACACAAAAAAGTTGTTCCTAAAAACTGTGGTGTTCAACTGATAATTTATCACTTAAGACTGCACAAAAATGATATAAATGCTGTTAAATTTACATTTAGAAAATTTTATCTTTAAATTTTTTATTGGAAATAATGACATCCATATTTTTTAAAGATTCAGTGTCTGAAACATAATGCACATCTTAGTCTCTTTTCTTTATCTTTCTTGCTTTTTTTTAAAAAAAAAAAAATCTTTTTGCTTGAATTTTACAATCTAAACTCTTTTTACGCATACATATTTAATTCTAAACATTTTTAAGTATCTTAAACCTTTAAAATGTATGAAATTTTTTACAATAATTTTTTTTTTTTTAAATTAATGATTTTTTTAAGAGAAAGGCTATGTTAATTTTATACATTTGTTGAAAGTTTATAGTTTATGTTTGCTTAGTTGATGCATTGGATAATATCTTTAAATAATACAATTTAACATGATAAATAGCTTCTTTGTAGATAACAAATCAATTAATATTCAATTTAAAATATTAATGTTGACTGTTAGTGTATTTTAAAGTTTGGAGCATTCTGAATCAAAACAGTTATGATGCATTACTTATTGAAGCTTATACTATGAGTAAGTGAAATATATGAGTTTAAATATACCATATGTATAAAAGCATCATGTGACACAATATAAGTGGCATATATTGTGCCACCTGATGAGTTCTATAAAGGAAACATTCTATATTAGTATACATATTATTCAATATTAGTAACATATATATTAATAAATGAAACTATCTTTACAGATGCCTTATGATTAGAATAAGAAGTAAAGCTTTTTATAGACTTTATAATATAGAGGTGAATTATCATAATTTCATTGTTTATACAACTCAAGTAAATACGTTAGTTTCATAGTTATGTATTTAAATGTCATCATCTATCACGTAACAGCCATTTTAATAATATTAACTCAAAATAAATAAATTAGAGTAATTCTTAGAAGAAAACACTTTTCCATGTTTGCATATTTTTATAATTATTTTGGCGTAGTCTCAATTTTAACTGCTTCAGTGTAAGGTGGTCTTACTAAAGAGGTTGTAAATCAGCTTTTTCTAGTTGCTGAAATTCATGAAATTTCATTTGTTTAATGGGGTGAGATATCCAAAGGAAAATTTTTCATCTTATTATAGGTTGGTGTGAACATGATAAAGTAAATGGATAAAGCTGTTCATGATACTGTATTAGTTAAGATCATCTGCTTTTTTTAAAAAAAATTATAATTATCTTTTTAACAAACTTGTATTTGTAAAGCTCATATATTATAAAATAGACTCTGAAAACTACAAGGAATAGAGATCTTTATAGTATTTATATTTAATGTTTCAGATGTTTTATTTCATCGTATTACTTCTTTCTAGAATTGTTTGCTTGTTAATATTAACTGTTAATAAAAAATAATTCATTTTTAAAATATTTATGTTTGGAAATTTTATTTTATATTATCTGTGATACATTTTCTTTGAAATGATATTTTATTGATTATTTATATTTATATTAAAAATGATCCTGCTTTTTTAAAAATTATTATTCAAAATATTTATTTCATTATGTTGTGTGTTATTTTATTCTTGTGTATGTTTGCTTATGTATCATAGTAGTATTATTTGTTAATTCCATGTTTCAAAGCGTTTATTCTTTTGAGTTTCTGCTCACTTTTTTCTGTGTATAAATATTGGAAATTTTTTAGAAATACAATGGCTTCTTATTTAATGTATCTTTGTTTAAGTTAGATCTCTGAACAAGGAGAGCAATTGTATGATTCCTGCCATTTTGTAATAGTAATTGATGTTAAGAACACCAATCAATGCATATCACTTATCACATTATGCAGCTAAATTTCCAGATATTTTTTCATAGTTAATCAAGGACATTAAAAAATGGTGTTTACTTTATTTTTTCCTTACATATTTTAATCTACAGCTGTTGTAATTGTTTCTAAAGGTTGCAATAAATTTTACCAATTCTTTTCTTTTTCATGAGTGGCCTTCAAAGCTATAAAATTAAAGGACTTAAAAAAAACAAAAAAATAATTAGCCTCCTTTGTCTGGAGAATGTTACGAAAAATGTATCCATTGAAACTAATTTAAAATGTCTACCTCTTTTATTCCATAATATGAATGTGCTTAAATGGGTTAAGGGTGCCAATTATCGAGTTGTGATTTCTAGTTTTATAACAAAATGATGTAACATTGATTCAATATTCCTTCATACAGCACTTGTGAAAAATAAGCTTTGTATGGTATGATCACAAAACCAGTTTTAATATTTTTTTGAAACAGTTTGGAAATATTTTTAACACATGTGCAATTAGTCTATTTTTTTTCATCAAAAATTTTTTTTTTTCAAACGCTCCTTTGAATTTACCCTTTTGAATTAACTTAATTATCTTCGTCAGATTTATCTCAGGCTTTTAATTAAATTTTTATTTTGTGTCAATAATTACTACCTAATGCAGACTTTAGTTAGTAAAGTCTAGAAGTGTTGTCACTTGAGAGTCTGCAATTAGAAGAGACAGCTATATACTCCTATGAGATATAAATATTTAAATTAATTAATATAGTCTTTTTTTAATTAACTTTTTTTTCTATTAAAAGCCATCTACAAAAAAATGTTTGTTAGAATATAAAGTATGTGACAAATTTAAAGTGTGTGATTTATTTATTTATAATATTTTTTCATAACGGCAGGCACTGAACTTTCGTTCTTCGCGTTAGAAGATGCAGGAAGTGTTGCTCATTTATCGTTACCCAGTGGGCACCTGTGAACCAAAGTCACACTGCCACAAATACCCGTTCATAGGGTGGGCCACATTCGTACATCAGAAGACAACACAGAGAGAGAGAGAAACATCCATGCCCAGAGCGGGATTCGAACCCGTAGCCATTGGCTTTGCAGTCAGGCATGCTAACCACTCAGCCACCGTGTGTGATTTATTTAAACGTGATAAGTACAGACCACAAAAGAAAATGGTTCTGCTTAAAATTAATCTCATGCTGGTATCGAATTACAATGCTAGAAAGTTGCAAGCAAAACTACTAAGATAGTGTCTTATAGAAATATTAGAAAACTACCTAAGGTAGTCAGCAATTGATGCATTTATAATGAACATATATATATATTGCTTGCATTGATAATACTAATTTTTTTCTCCAATTTACGAATGAATTTAGAATACTGTGTTGGCCAAAAAAGTAAAGACGTTCCGGGCACCCAGTCATATTTTTCATTGCCTGGATCCGGTTAAAGAATTTTACTACCAGGTACAAAGATTCAGCAAATTTTACCAGGCATCTAGTGTCAGATAACACTTCATTAATGTTTGACACAATCACATAAACCTAAAACTATTCATAAAATGATGCTATAAGTTTTTATTATTTGGATTAGTAGGCTTACCATTTTATCGAAGTATAATAGACGTTAGTTATTCTGATGCTATTACTAGTTAAAACATTATTAAAGACTAATTTTTTTGTAAATAAAAGCAAATGTTAAAATCAATTCAATTGTTATAAAAATTTATAAATAAATTTTTTGAAGGTAGTATTTAGTTTAAAAACACGAAAAACCTTTCTAGTTTTACATAACTAAACAAAAAACTCATTACAGTTTCAATATAAGTTAATTTTGAAAAGCATGCATGAATAAAATTGACCTTGTTACTGTAAAACTAAATTTTTACTACAAAAAGTGTTTTGTATTTGTTAGCTCAATAAATTCCAATTGCAACCAGTCAGGTTAAAGTTTTTTTTAACATCAGGCTAACTATAGGAGATTTCGTCTTTTTTTTTTTCAGTATTGTGCAAGTATTGTAGTTTCACAGAAGTTTTTTTGTGAAAGTAAATTTGCTTATTGCTTGACATAGGATATACTTATTTTTTTTATGGAATCTTATAAAGCAAAAAATTTTCTTGCAAAAACTTTATTTAGAGATTTAATTTCTTAAAAAAATAATTAAGAACTCTTTTTTTCCCTTTTTGTATAGGCGAGCAATAAATTTCCTTAAAATATCTAATTGTTCAATAGACAATTATAGCGATTTTTAGATTCTTTTGCATAAATGTTATAACATCTGGCCACATAATAAATCTAAAATTTACCAGGTGCCCAGAATAGGCAAGGTAAAAGATTCAATTTCACTGGGTATTCGGACCCAGCAACATTTTAGGACTCGGTACTTCTCTACTAAAACGTAATCTTTAATTGACATGCAACTTTGATTGATAATTGATATTAAGATTAAAGAGAAAAAATATTTTGATATGTTTTAGTCAAGTATAGTGATTGCAAGTCATTTCTTTTTCTAAAGCTCTTAAAATGTTTTAATCAAATATCAAGAAACAATTCAAAATTAAAGAATTTCTTTATTAAATTTACTTTTAGAAGAACAATTTAAAAATAAATAACTTTTTAACAAATGATTGAAACATGATTTTATACATCATGATATTGTAAAAGTTAGTGTGTGACTCGTGTAACAGGTTATCTGTCATTGCTCTACTATTTCTTAGTTTGCTGATGTAGTTTAGAGGTAATTTTAATAGGCATTATAATATATCACATACTATTGTATTAAACTGATACATTTGAAAGTTACCCTTAAAATGATAGTAACAAATAAATTTGTAATAATGCTGGCTAAGAATTTATTGTTAAAGCATTTGATGTTTTGCAGCATTTATATAAACATATTGTTTCTTCCTGTATTTTTGTAGAATTTAGATGCATTTTAAAAGAGTTCTATATTTATGAAAAAACAATAAATGAGTTTAAAATTGCAGTTGTAAAACTCCTATTACGAAAATAATTCTATATTATTTTCAGAAATGTTGAGCTTTTTAAAAATAAATGTTTATTTTAACTGTTTGTCTACGTGTTATTTAAAATATTCAAAATATTGAATTTACTACTTTTCAGTAAATACCTGCTTTTTTATGTGATATAAATGCAGAAAAAAACTTTCTTTTCCTTCAAATTTAGGTATTGTTCATAAAACAATAAATTAAAAATATTTTTTTATTCATAGGTGATATAGAGCTAATTACATAAATTTGTATAATTTGGTAAACTTGGGTAACTTGATTTGCGACCAGTCACTTAAAAGTTTGTCCTACATTTTTTAATAAAAATAAATTCTTTACTTGTTTTGCCTTTGCTTCTAGGACTGACAAAACAAAATAGCTCATTCTTTAGAATGTGTTTTTATATAAATGGATTTATCTTTTTGAAATGCATTGCATTTATACAACATTCAAAACACTTTTTATAACTTCTACATATATCAGTTAAATTTATGAACATATTAACCATTAGCTATACTTGCTGATGGCACTTAATGCATATCAGAAGAAATTTACTCAGTCTAAGATTTACCCTTATTTGTGATTAGTAATGGTTTTAAAACTTCATGTTAAAAATAAAATACAATGGGATTTCTTAACAACTTTTTAATAACTTATATATTTTTTTTCTTACAGTAATAAGTAACAAATCGTTGGAAAAATTTTTTCAACATAAATTTTATACTGATATTAAAGATAAATAATATTTTGTATACTGACTTAAAATTTATAAGAATTAAATAATATTCATAATTACAGTTCACAAGGGTTTAAACCAATGATAAATAATATTTTGAATCCTGTATTTAAATTCAAGGAATAAAACTAATGAAAAAAAAAATGATACAAAAGAAATTTCAGAATATAATATTCATAAATACAGTTCACAAGGAATAAAACCAATGATAAACAATATTTTGTATCCTGTATTTAAATTCAAGAATTAAAATTAAAGAACACAAAATAAAAACGTTTCAGAAGAAATTTCAGAATATAACTTAGGATATATATAAAATATTTTAACATAATGTTAATAGTAAATTTTTTCTTTGACATTTTATACAAAACTATGTATATTATTGTTTTATAATTTCTATATACCAGAAAAATAAAATACATGCCTACTTTAACCCATAACTGGTATCAAAGTATTTTGACATCCCAATGTTAGATAATTTTTCAAATTGCTTTCATGAACTTTTATTATTGCAAACTGAATTTTTATTCTCGATAAAAAATATAGGTGAAAAAACCTGTTATCTTAACAACAGTAGGTATTGGGATGTTAACGAAAGATAAATAATATTTTGTATACTAACTTAAAATTTATAAGAATTAAATAATATTCATAAATACAGTTCACAAGGCTTAAAACCAATGATAAACAATATTTTGTATCTGTATATAAATTCAAGGAATAAAACTAATAAACAAAAATAAAAAATGTTGCAGAAGAAATTTCAGAATATAACATAACTTAGGATACATATAAAATATTTTAACATAATGTTAATAGTAAATTTTTTCTTTGACATTTTATACAAAACTATGTATATTGTTTTATAATTTGTATATACCAGAAAAATAAAATACATGCCTACTTTAACCCATAACTGGTATCAAAGTATTTTGACATCCCAATGTTTGATAATTTTTCAAATTGCCTTCATGAATTTTTATTATTGCAAAGTGAATTTTTATTCCCAGTAAAAAATGTAGGTGAAAAAACCTGTTATCTTAACAACAGTAGGTATTGGGATGTTAATATACGATGGTAACGAAAGATAAATAATATTTTGTATACTGACTTAAACTTTATAAAAATTTAATAATATTCATAATTACAGTTCACAAGGATTTAAACCAATGATAAATATTTTGTATTCCGTATTTTAATTCAAAGAATAAAACTAATGAACACAAAATAAAAATGTTTCAAAATCTAACATAACTTAGGATATGTGTAAAATATTTTAACATAATGTTAATAGTAAATTTTTTCTTTGACATTTTTTACAAAACTATGTATATTATTGTTTTATAATTTGTATATACCAGAAAAATAAAATACATGCCTACTTTAACTCATAACTGGTATCAAAGTATTTTGACATCCCAATGTTTGATAATTTTTCAAATTGCTCACGAACTTTTATTATTGCAAAATGAAATTTTATTCTCGATAAAAAATATTAGTGAAAAAACCTGTTATCTTAACAACAGTAGGTATTGGGATGTTAATATACGATGGTAACAAAAGAAAAATAATATTTTGTATAGTAACTTAAAAAATTTATAAGCATAAAATAATATTCATAAGTACAGTTCACAAGGCTTAAAAGCAATGATAAACAAAATTTAGTATCTGTATTTGAATTCTAGGAAAAAAACTAATAAAAAAAAATGTTTCAGAAGAAATTTCAGAATATAACATAACTTAGGATACGTATAAAATATTTTAACATAATGTTAATAGCAAATTTTTTCTCTGCTGACATTTTATACAAAATTATGTATATTTTATATACCAGAAAAATAAAATACATGCCTACTTTAACCCATAACTGGTATCAAAGTATTTTGACATCCCAATGTTTGATAATTTTTGAAATTGCCTTCATGAATTTTTATTATTGCAAAATGGATTTTTATTCCCGGTAAAAAATAAAGTTGAAAAAAACCTGTCATCTTAACAATAGTCGGTATTGAGATGTTAATATACGATGTCAGTCAATGATTAAACATATAACCTTTACAAGAAATCATACAGTTTAATCTGGCCAATAAAAATATATCCAGACATAAAAGATCATACAGTTTTATACATTTATTTTGGATTGCACGTCAATTGTACAGTACTTTGTAGTACAATAGTTTTTTTATTCAACACTGATACTAACTTCTCAATGTACAAATATGAATACAAGTATGAGTTGCATTGTTATTCTTTAGTATAAATGCTTGCACACTTAAATGAAGTCACATAAAAAAGTACTGTTTTAAAAAAATTAAAACCTTCATAGAATTATGAAAAAACTAGATCTTTCAATGGATGACTTTAGCAAATTTTACAACATGATAATGCACAGTTACAGATGTGTTCAAGTTTGTTTGCCATCATTACTTGATGAGTTATTTATCACATCAGCAAGATCTTCAAATTTTGCAATGAAATCAATGCTGCATTCATCAAGTAAACAACGGACTTGAGAATCAACCTGAAAAAGAAAAAAAAAGTTAAAATACTTTTTCAAAGAAAATTGGCAAAGGATGTTTTTTTAAAAAAAAAAAACATATAAAAATATAAATTATTATAAGTCTTCAAATATAATTAAATGTAAATCAATTAAGAAACTCATACCTACAGTTTTGTATAATTTTATTAACGTTTCATAAAATCTTCAAACATATTTTTCCTCATAAATAAATACATTATTAACAAACTTTATATATATATATCAGTTCAAAATATTTTGGGGATACTCGATTAGCATAGTAAGATGCAACACCCCATGCTATCTAAAATGAAAATAGATGCAATGATAGAATGTTTAACATAAGTTTCATTCATTTTTCACAATGTTAAAAAATAAATTTGCAAGACACCTTAACTCAGTGGCATGCAAACTTCTTGTACCAGGGAGACCTTTAACATAATTTTTTATTCTACGGAACCCCATTCCAGCAATGATTATTTGTTAAATTTATAAAAGTAAATATTAATTATAAACACTAATATCTGGAGTCATCATCTTCAATGATCTTAGACTTTGCAAACTTTATTTTTTAAATTTATTAAATTAGTGACAAATTATAAATTTTTGTATTTAAGTCATATGATCTTCATTCGCCAAATCATGTGATCTTCATCATTTATAATTATTGATCATTTTGACTTAAGTGTTTTGAAAACATTATTTTTTTATATGAAATATTAATAAAAATTTTAGTTTTCTGAGCCATTTTATCTTCAATGATAGTGAACTAATTTGTTTAGCAAGCAATTTTTTTTCAGGTGGATAAAACTACAAAAAAAAAAAAAAAAAAAAAAAAAAAAAAAAGATACAAAAACACGACTATCTATATGAAGCACAAAAAACTTTGAATTAAGCTTGGAGTAAGAAATATCTTTATTCATTTACAAAACTTATCTTAAATATTGAAATATTAAAGAAGATACTTAGAAGTACTTAAAATTTAATGAAATGGAATGCTTCCACTTTTCACATTTTAATCTGTATGTTTCACCACAAAAATTTGCATTAAAAATTACAATTTAATAATCAGTTTAATGCAATAAGATAGACAATATATTTAAAAATAATCCACATCTAAACATCAGCCACACGTCAAACAGCAAAAATTTAAAAAACTAATTTCTTTCTGGAAGCAATAAACATAATTCAGTATTTTCCACAGTGCTTTTTTTCAGAACTTCATCAAGAAGTCCTAAGGAAAAGAAATGTTCAGTTTCTTTACTGCTTTTTTTTTTCTGCTTGTACATTTGTTTTGCTTTCCATTATGTTTTTTACTTTTTCTGTGTACCAAAAATACAAAATAAAATTAGAATTTGTTAAAACTTAGTTTAAGATTTTCAAAAATCAAATAAACTCATGGATCCCCAGCAAGATCTCTGCAGAATACAGTTTGGGAATTCCTGTCTTAATTGACAGATTCATAACAAACGCTTTACTTGATTCGAAAAAAAAAGAAGTATTAAATACAATAATTTGTGATCATTTTTGGTAGAAACAATCATACAATATTTGAACAAAAATTGTATCACTAACAGTAAAATTGAAGGAAAATAATGTGTGACAACTAAAAAATATGACTTTTACATGAATTTAAGGTTTAACAAAGAAAAAATTATGTTCATAACTCCTAAATGAAAAGAAATGATAGAGCAAAAACAAAATTTTCACAAATAATAAATGTACTTAAAACTAATGAAAGTATATAAGACATGCAGATTATAACAGGCAGTGCAATATCTCAGCTTATTACCAATACATTTATGATGAATGAATATATTTTTGCCTAATTTGACTAGAATTTTAAGAGGTCTATTTACACTCCCTTAGTTTTAACTTTTTCTATATATAATCTCTCTCTCTTTTTTTTATGTTTATTTTAAAGTGACTTCTGTGGGAATGAAAGACAAAAAATTAAATTTATCTTAAATAGCTTTAGTTGCATGGCTGGTAAATTCACTTCTTATAAATGGTGTTAAATAACATTCAATCTTTGGAACAGAAAAGGGCCTTTTAATGAATGGGTTGAAGTAATGTGAGGTCATATTAAAGAACATAAATTGTCAATTGCTTAGATATATTACACATAAAATATAGAGTAAAAACAACAAAGACAAGACGTAATTAATCTCAAACACAAATCTAAACTACTAATAGTAAAAACAAGCTTTTATAAACTAAGAAACCAATTGATCCTCCTTTAATATTTTTTTGATTATAGGAAATTAATTTTATTAAACGTCACTTTAATATTGTACAAGAGAAAAGAAAATTATGATTTTATGCAAACAAAATGGGATACTATCAGAATTACTAAGATAGATTTTCTAATTACAGTAGAGTCTAGGTAGTTCAAGTTTCCCACTAAGAATACAATCATTTAGCCTCTTAAGAATGATCAAGATGTGAAAGAACAATTACATCCACCTTGTACAGCAGAGCCGGATTATACCTTTCGTAGGCCCTAGGCACAGCCGTTTTTGGGCCCTTCCCTCCTTCCCCCACTCCTCCCCTCTTTTCAAAATATATGCTAAAATTTTCTTGCATATTTTTTTTACATTTTTATTAATATGGATTCTAATTTTCAAATTTGTTTATCGAACTTTATCTGCAATACCGACATACTGCCGATATTGCAGTTGATATCGATATTACCATTATGATTAGTTCGATCGATAACTATGTAAACACTTCACGTCAACAATACAACAACAAATCAGCAAAGAAAACAGTGAAATTGATAGTGAGATTAATTACAAGAAATATTTATACTACAAATAGCTTCATAGTTTTCATGATACTACTATGATAACTAAGTGAAGGAAATTAACATTGTCAAAAGTAAATCTTTTGAAATTATGAATTCAAAATTATTATTGAAATTATGAATGCAAATGCAGAAGGAGAAAGATCTTTCACCAGATTAAAATTGATAAAAAAATTATTTGCGTTCAACAATGAATCAAGATCGTTTGGCATCGCTCGCACTTATGTCTATTGAATACGACATTTTGCGTAGTTTGGAATTCGACAGCATAATACAAGATTTCGTTGAATCCAAAAATAGCAAAAAAGTAATAAGATTCTGTAAAATAATTTATTACCGAAAAATATTATATTTTTATTTGTATCTTCATAATTTTGTGCAAAATACACTTGTTGTTTTTAAAGCTAAATTATTTTTGTCAAAAAATTTTTTTCTTCCAAGTTTTTCGTAGGCCCCTGAATTTCGTAGGCCCTAGGCACGTGCCTATAGGTTAATCCGGCCCTGTTGTACAGTCATCTTAACTGAAGATAACACAGGTTTGTATCCGAAAGAGAAGGAACTAAATAGTGATGGGATATGTGTAATGTAACATTGCATATTCATACAGTCTTCTCTACTACTGAGAGGAGATAAGGGAACCACAGTAAAAGGTTTGAAAAATTTACTGTAAATGACAATGATCTACAAATCCCAGTCACCATGACACCTAAAACATTGTAATTGATGCCTAGTATTTAAGTAAAACTTAACATACCCGTTTCTAAAAATTGGTCCTGGCAAATTTTAGAAATTTTTTATAGACCACAGGAAAGGGCATTTGGTATTGAGTGGCTGGGTCATCAAGTACTTTTCATTTAAATATACTACACTGAAATTTAAAATCTACTTTATTTGCTTTCACTAATTTATTAAATTTTGACAATTCAATAATTCGAGTTTTCAATAGTTTCAGGTTGGTCTTGTTGTGTCCATCTCATCATCAACTCAACTGCATTGGTGATAAATAACAGTAGTTTTTTTTATGTTAAGTTTAATCTAAAACAGTAAGTCCCTCCATATTTTTTAAAATGCCTTGTCTTGATATAAGTATGAAATTAAGTTTCATGTAAAAAAAAAAGACATTAAAGACAAAATAAAACTATATAAAATGGCATTACCACAGGAGCTAATCTGGCAATTTGATCAAAATTAGAATTTTCTGTAAAACTAGAAGATGTGGAAGTTGACATAACTTTAATTGGAGATTCTATTGAGTTTAAGAAAGTATTCAGAGACATATCTGGACCCTGAAAATAGAGAATAATAACATTCTTTATTACAAAAGTACATAAAATAGTAAATACCTTGGTAAATTAAAAAAAAAATTACTGCACTGCTGAATTTTGGTACAGTAAGTATTCAAATAGCACTTTCTGAATTTTCAATGAAAACAAGTTTTATAAATGTGACACAAAAATTTTGATTTAGAAATTAGTTACAAGAAAAATACAAAAAGCAAAAATAGAATCAAAGATCAAAAGTTTTTGATTTGTGACGTGTCATTAGAGACAGACACATCTGACAAAAAAGTAATAATTATTCAAAAAATAAATAATTTTGTGCCAAATTTCATAATTAAATTAGATTATAATTAAAATAATTGAATCAATTCATTTGAAAACTTTTTAACTACTATTTTATGTCATCAGTACATCTAAAGAAGATCCCTCAAATCTGGAAATATAGTAAAATAATTTTTGAAAATCTGATTATTAAATCAAAAAGCTTTTCATTTTTTTTTTTTGATTGTACATTTTAATATCATGAGATATACTGAATAGATTAAATGAGTACAAAGAGTTCCCACTCAATTTTAGAAAAAAAAAAATTCAGTGACTTTTCCAGGTAAATTTCATTGAAAATCTAAACCATATTTTATGTATATCATGAAATTTTAGTCAGAAAACTTACATCTTTTTATTCGTAATGCTAATTTTTAGATTTTGTGAGCAAAAAAAAAAAAAAAAAATCANAGGGATTTTGTGAAAAAAAAAAAAAAAAAAAATCATTGAACGAGGATGGGGACATGTCAGTTTGACTGAAATATGAAATTTTTACAACAAGTAATTGTAATAGATGTTAGAACAATTTAACTCAAATCTCAATAGCTGATTACTGATACAGACAATTCTAAGGCCAGTTATTTTCCAGGCACCATGATATAAGAATTTTCGTGGTAAAATAAGAATAAAATATAAGAATTTTTGAGATTTTGAAAAAAATAGCAACTTTCCCTGATTTTTGGAGTTTAATAAAAATTTACTGCACTTCCTGACCCATGAGAGCCCTGATTCAAAATACAAGAATAATTGAAAAACTCGACGTTTATAAGTATCTTACTTTGTTTTTTACTTACTTAAATTGCAAATTTAGAGAGTCAAATCAACATGTTTCACAGAATTTTTAAACATTAAAAAAAAAAAAAAAAAGAAAATAAATCAGAAATTACAAAATTTTTAAATGTTAAAATGTAATTTTCCGTGGTGTAACATAAAAATTTACACTTTGTAGCACCGCCATTAGTTTTCTCAAGTATTCTCAAAAATTCCAAATTGCATTATGATCTCGCGAATTAGCTGGTGATGGTGGAACTGTAATTTTCCAGCCTGATCTTGAAGCTAAATCTTGTCGGAAAATAAAATTATTTTAAAACAAGTCTTTTCATGATAAAATTAGGTAGTTCTTGAGAATATCTTGGTAAATATCTGAATTTATTTCTTGTTTGTACACTGTTTCAGGCCCGTTTGCACTCCTGGAACTTCATATCACTACACTAACTGCAAATTTTACTGAACATTTTAGGCACTTTTTATTAAATGCTTCTAGTTTCCTTCTTCAAACTCGAACCACTTGTTTGCCATAAGACTAAACTAAATTCAGTGGTGCAATAGCTCATAGAGGGCCAAGGGTTAATATGCCCATCTTAGTTTTCTTGACCTTGAGCTCAGGGATGCAAGAGCAGATGTTTCAGCTGGGTGGTCAGCTAAATGCGGAACCCCCAGTGTTTAGTTCCCAAGCATGTTTGGTTCTCATTTCATTGACTAAGTCAACCTAGCCCAGTTCGAGGATAGAACCCAGGACCTGTGGCTTGAGAGCACAGAGCGCTATCACTCTGCCACCAGGCATCGGTTGCCACAGGATGCACAGAACATATTTTCACAATATATTTTTTCCCAATCCCCCAAGCCTCATAGCACTCTTGATTTGAACCAACTCTGATTTGCAAGCTTTTGTTTTATAGTCATAAATGGTTATGTTTTTGGATGATCACAAGATTGAAACTTCAATTTCAGAAGACACCTTAATGTTGTCGATTTAGAAATATAATTCCTTTATTTTTTCATTGCTGATGCAAATATTGTACACTTCTGAATTGATTGTTTTCAGCTATAGCTTTCAGTTTTCTGTCATTTCTAGCTGAGGTTTTCAGCCACCACTGCAACGATTATTTTTAAACTTTCCATGTTTCCAATATTGTTAGTTGATTATAGCAAACACCTGATTGATGAATTGATTTGAGTTATCAATATATTGTTCATTTTCACCTTGTCGGTGTAAGTCATCATATTCATAGTTTTATTGATTCTGGAATATCATGTAAATGTCCAATTTCAAAATAAACTCCAAACATGAAATACAGAAAATAAGTCTTTCTATATAATAAATGTCAGCAATAAATGAAAAGTTTTTATAAGCTATTGATAAAATTATTTAAAACAAATATTATCGTAACATATTCTGATAATCCAGACTAACTAAATTTAGTATTCTAATGTCTAGAGATAATCTTTTTTTTGTTGAGAAAAATGAGCAAATTTTAAGCTAGTGTCGTAGTTTGATTGAAAGTAAATTCAATATATATATATATATATATATAAGCTTTAACTAATATTTTCATGTTATTTTTTGATCTAAATTCTCCTTCTTAATTTATCATTCAAAATTGAACGCTTTCTCACACATAATTATTCACACCCTGTCTTATTATATTTTTTTATTCAAGTATGCAACAATTAACATTTTAAGTCTTTCTCTTTACTAACTATGAGAACCATATTATTCCCTTCACTTACTTAATGAATGTGAATCCATATTATTCCCTCCACTTAATTAATGCCCTGTTTGCATGTGAATTAAAAGTTCATTGGGACTTGTTTGCAAGATTTTCCCTAATCTTTATTAAGGAGCACTTCGATTTTGTGTCACTTGGATGCTAGTTAATTTCATGATTATGCTTTAATAAATATAATTTCCGAACGCCCTAGTGCCTCTGACTTGCTTCATCACACCTTTCGTCAATGATCTTATTTATATATACATTGTTTGCATAAATGCATTATGTAATACTTAAAAACTATGTGTTTTATTTCCACTGAATAAAACAAAAAATATTATAGTACTTAAAATTAGAGTTGTATTATCAGCAGAAATTCAGAAAAGACTTCAAATAAAAATTATGCAGATGAAATAATAATGAGAATTTTGATTTCAAAGTAGATAGAGAAACAAAGGTTTTAAAATTTCAGTTGGACAGATAGACTTTGAATTTATCATTGAAGACAAAATTTTTTAAAGAAAAAGTTATGAAGTAGCAATAAACCAAATTCGAAAGAAAAAAACTAATACATCTAATAACAAATCCAAGATACAAAAAATTTGACATTATTTCTAGTGGTTCTGAGCTCATAGGAAACATTACTTACCTCGCCATTCAACCACTGCCTATCTGGTGAATCCATGATAAATGGTTGATGTGTGGGACTTCCAGGAGGAGTTGATAGTGGTTTTGAAGAAAGTGAGTCTTCATTAAATGTTGATGATGAGCCAAGTGAAGAATCAAACAAAGGTCTTTTTGTAGAAAATCCCAATTCTATAAAAAGAAACACAATAAAAATTAATATTTAAAATAATAAAGACAAAAAAATTTAAAAAATCAACATTGAATACTATATAAATAAGTGAACGTTCATTATAAGACTGTTTGTAGAAACAAAATAATTGTGTATCTTATTTATCTGCATACTTTAATTTATAAAACACTGAAGTAACAATAATTTTCTAAAAACTTATTTAATTTTAAATAATTATTTAATAACAAATTGTATACATTTGAGCCAACAATATAAAATTGCAATGAATTGAAGAAAACATACCTTCCAAAAATGTAGTATCTGGTATTGCACTTATAGTTGATAAAGAATCTGATTGTTCAGAAGAATGATACTCATTAACAGGTGACATGGTTATAAAATTTTCATCAGGAGCTGAATTATGATGAGAGTCGACTAACAAATCAAAATTTAGTACCTATAACAATAAATGAAGTATGTAACTAATTCATTCATTAATTGCAAATACACAATAATTAGTCTTTAATATTAAAAAAAAGATCATCATCATGGTTTTGCCCATAGCAATTTAATATAACTGAGTTTTTGTAAGCAATCTGCGTTGAAGCTTGCAAATATGACACCTATAAATGTTTAGGGCCATTCCATGAAAAGTGAGAACAAAATATAAAAGAAAAAAAAGCTGTTTTTTCCCCTAATACCAAAACTTATAACAGTTAAAATTTTCAATTAATTGAAATTCAAGTAGTTTTATGAGATTCATTTCGTTTGAGTGGCAAGAGTAAATGAGAAATTGACATTTTGACAGACTGAAGTTGAAACAATTTTTGTGGGTACAACTTTGAGTCATAAAACTTAATTGTATCCAGTTAATTAATTACATTTACTTCACTTATCTTTTAGCAACATTTAAATAATTTTATTTTTAACAAGTAAATAATTTAAATTGAATAAACAGCTACCACACAAGTAACAGAAAAGATTAATGCAATCAATAACAGTTGGAACTAAAAGAATTATTATTTTCAAATTTCATTTCTAAACATTAGTTTATTATTTTTGACTGAATACATTCATTGAAATTATGCAGCTTTTTAAAAAATATTTTATTAAGAATAGATTTTTGTTATTCAATAAAGATGCAAAAATATGACTACTCAATAAATTTTATGTAAATTACAATAGGCATAGTAGAAACAGGGAGAAAATATAACAATGGCAAAAAATGAGGGCATAAAAATAAATCCTAAAAATTATATTTTTTAAAACATACATAATTTACATAAATATTATAGCCAAATATTGCAACATGATATTTCCCTACACTAAAATACTATTAGATTAAGTTTTTATAAATGTTTAATTAGAAAATTTAATAAAAAAGAAGTAATTGTAAAGTGATCTACTGTCATTGAAATCTAAATAAATGTTCAATACTCTATTTACAAAGCAATAGATAGATAAAAATACTATGCTATCTCACACAGAAAGATGAAGTATTCCAAAATATAAAGCACTTTGTGCAACAAAAAATGTTGATACAAAATGGACTCATTATTCAATTGGAAAAAAAAAAAAGAGTTTCAGGAATCAGCATATACAGTTGTGAAAAATACTAAAGAATTTTAGCTGTTGAACAAATTGAAAATGAAAAAGCAAGTATAGGGAGACAATGTTAAATGTCTCCATAATAAAACAATACATTATATGGATGAGGAGATAGAACACTAATTTTTAATTCAATGCCATTAATTAATGTCATTAATTATTAATATTAAAAAAGTTACACTAAACATTTGAATCATTTCCTAGAGATAATATTTGCCATGCTTGATTTAAAAGTTCATTAAAAGTAAAATGCATCCTAAATCCAGATATAATTAAAATACCAATGAAGCAAATGGTACATGTGGAACATAAAAAATGATCCATTTTTCAATGCTAAGTCACAGAGCTAGTAAAGGGAAAAACAATTTTAAAATTATAATTGTCAACAAACATGATAAAATCAGATTTAAAGAAAAATAGAAATATAACTTTTGGGGGCTATAATTTCAGATTTTCTTCTTATATTACACAAAAACAAAGATTGCAATTTGTAATCTTCATTCAATAAATAACCATAAAAAATTCTTTTTAGTTAATAGGTTTAAATACATTGAAATTCTAAAGTAACGAAGGTCTGCAATAGGCAAAAAGTAAGCTTTAAGTGGTTTTCATACGAATTGTGGTTTTCATGTGATGTGTGGGACATTACACAATTTTCTCATGTATCCCACGCTTGACAAACTAATGACAAATTTAAAAATTTAATTCCAACTAATATTATTTATAACAATGCTAAAAATACAAAAAAAAACATTCATGTAAGTTAACATTTTATATAAAAAAATTATGATTAAATTATTTAATTAAATTAGCTGATTTTATCCATTTATTAAAAAAAAAAATACATTTATACAATTACACATATTTTAATAGTTAAAAATAACATATTTTGAAAATTTAAAAAAAAAGTTAACATATACATTAAGAATTAAAATAAATTGTGTGGAAAAAAAATAAAAATTTCTATTTTTTAAAAATAACAGTTACATGAAAATGTAATTAATCAAGAAAGTATGCTAGAAAATGCCTATGTATGACTGCAGAATCAATCTTTACCACAGAGTATTTGACAGGATTTTAGAATTTGTCAATATGATACAGATTATTTGCTGTTAAAGTAACATTCAAGAATATATCTTGGTTCAATTTTTTATATGCTTTAAGCAACTATTTGAAAATATCTTTGATTTAAATAGTTTTCAGATAATTATTTTTTTTTAAAAATCAATTATATTTTTTTGATCTTTACTTTTATGCATATTTAGGTCACAATTGAAAATAAAGATGTTACAGAAGAATTAAAAAAAATCTGAAGATGTTACAGAAAAATTTTGATTTCAAGAAATTACAGCTATCAAGAATTTCAAATTTTAATACAGAATCACATTTTCAAAATGAACAGAATTAAAAATAAAATCTCACATCCAGACTTGTAGGAGATGGCAACCCTCCAGAAGTAAATGAGTTATTTTCTAATGATAATACATCAGCCATACTATCCACCGTATTTGCAGAAGAAACAACAGGATGCACAGAGTTTAGACATTGGTTTGCATTGCGATCACTTAGAATTTGCAATGAATTTCTGGAGGTAGAATTTAAAATCACATGCTGTGATACTGCATTTTGTTGTATCACTAAATTTTGAACTGAATCAGATTGCACTTGGCTGATGACAGGAACTTGAATGGGTTGGATATCCAAAGATGGCCCTAAAAATAAAAGGAAGCAAAATAATGATAAGATAATAAGAAGCTGTGAATTATTATTAATGACAATTTTGTAATTAATCTTACTAAGATGATAGACAGGCTTAGAGAGTCATTAACACTAGAACAACCGGAACAGACATTTCGATCACAAAACTTTGAGAGGTGCTAAGCCCTAAAATAATTATACCAGCACATTTAACTTTCACGAGTTTCCTAACTTTTTGAGATCTTCAAAAGTATTAAAGCAAAATGCTATTAGAATATATAATACGCGCATAAAATGCCAATTTATCTAGAATGTCCATTGTCGTCAAAGTGACTGCTGTAGAGATTTGAGTAGACTTGGATCTAGCACACTGTTTCTCCTCCATTGTTTATCTTTATTTTATTTAAGCACGCACATGATTAGATCGACATTGGACAAGTATTTGTAAATAAGGAAAACTTTTGCTTGCTGCTGCTTTCCAACCCCCTTATAATTGTTTACACAATTGTTAATTGTTTCTCTTTAGGTTTTTGACTAAAAAATGACTAACTTGCAGAGCCATCTGATAAAAGGTGAATTTTTGTGAAAAATTCTAATTTGTAGTTTAGAGCCTAGAAGACTAATAAAATTCAATAATTAGCTCTTGCTATTAAAAACTATGTTCGTTAAAAATTTAAGACTATGGAATTTGGATTAAATTTCCGACTGACTGTGGAACTTAAAACCAAATATTTTTTGAATAACTAGGAAAAGATAATGACGGAAGTAGTTGGTGAACATGCCCTTAAATTCCTTTGCAGGAAAGAAATGCCTCAACAAACACCCTTTCACATCCTAAAAACATGTTCATACTTTATGGACAAAAGGATAATGATAAATAAAAAATTATACGAGAGAAGGATTTAATAGTTGTTCCCATGCAGTTAAATCATAGAGAAATCCCTTAAATTAGCAAAGCTCTAACTATCTTGAACTTTTTTTAAAAACATTCTAGTTCAGGATCAAAAAACTTTCAATTAACGTAAACTTAAAAAAAATTTCTACATCTTGAGTACTATACATAACTATGGTAGTTTTATCGTAGTTCATGATCCTAAAAATCTCCCTGAAAGAGTAAAATTTTCAAAGTCTAAGTTGTCGCCTATTTGATGGAACTGTTTCATCAAATAAGCAGATTGATAGGGATTTCTAGAATATGGCCAATTTTTCTAAACTTTCCCATTTTTTTTTTAAAGCATGTAACTCTTAACAAGTTTCTCAAAAGTCCTATATTTTGAGCTTGGTAGAATTGAGATTATTATATTTTTTCTCAAAGAAACTACCATCTCCCTCCTGACTTTACTGAAACTATAAGTAATAAACAATGTCAACGTTCTTTGCGCCTAAACAAAAATGTTCACCATTCCTTAAACCTAGTGGAAAATGCTAAGATATTTAAAATAATGTGCTAATATCGATATTGGTAAGGAGCTGTTTTATACTATTTTTCCTCAAATAAAGGTAATTTTTTATATATTAAAAATAATACCATTAAAAATACTGCAAAATACTAAAAATTACCTTTTTAAACTTTCTTTCTTTCTTTTTAATGATATATGAATTAAAGATCAAGTATTTATGCTCCTATTTGAACCATTGCAGACAAAATGACAGCAATGGTCATACTAAATAGGTAAAAATGTCAGTCGTTCTAGTGTTGAAGAACATTATCAAAAAATAACGTTTATTTTTTGCCTAAGTTAGAGAGGATATCAATTACCTAAGTTAGAGAGGATAATTGGGTAAAAGGGCTTTTGAAAAACAGGGTCAAAAATAATTAAACGAATAGAAATACCAAAACAAATTAACAAAACATATGCTTTAATTAAAAATCCATAAAAAGTGGATACTTACCAGAAGGGATGAGTTTCATGATTTTCTTAGCAGGTGGCACATTCAATTTTTCTGATTGTGTACAGTTAGTAGATATGACAGGAGATAATGAAGAAACAGAAGGCACAAGGTGAACTAAAGTCATAGGTCTGGATCCAGACAACACCCCCATTCCTTCTCGAGGCAGCAAAGGTCTCTGGACAACAAGCGGCTTTCTACGCACTCTACATCCTCTTCGAGTGCTTGGGAGTAGCTTCTACAATTATGAATAGTATTCTCTTTAAAACTATAATAAATTGCTTACATAACAAGGAAACTAACATAACAGCAAAAATAAATAAATTTAAAAAAAAAAAAATGAAAATATAAATCGAAATTGGTCATTGATCTGCCAGCGGTTGATAAGTTGTTGCAAACTATTCTATAACATTTAATGTTATAAGTAGTTTTCATTTTAAATTAAAGATTCTACAGATAAAAACTAAACTGTTTGGAAATGAAATAAATGTTGAAACTTTACAATACTTAAAAAGTTACTCAAACTAGTCAAAATTTTAAAGTAGTTACTTTAAAAATAGTAAATTATATACTTTTAATGCAACTATCTGATTAGACAGTTTCTATTAAGAATTAAAAAGTTAATTAAGTGCAACGTATACAGACATTTGAATTTATCAACAAGCAGATTTGAATAGTTGAAAATTGGTAGCACAAATACTGTGAAAAAAGTTTCTTTTTTCAGATTCAGTTTCTACACTAGCATTAAAAAAGCTAAATGTTACTATGCAAATATCCGTATTTTTTCTAAGTCTTAGATTGTTAGGATCATCAAGGTCTATCAAAAATAAGCTATCTAATGATTTTGCCTCTTCAAGTATACTACTTATAGCATTATTTTTCACCAGCTGCTTAACAAGAATGAAGATATTTTCATGTAAGAAAGGTACCATTGGTTCAAATGACTGAAATCTTTTAAGGAATGGTAGAAGAATATTAGCAATAAAAGAGAAGAAATAATTTTAAGACAAAAGTTCTTCACTTTCAGGTTTAAGAAATTTTAAATTGACATTCGGTCCACTCATGCTAATTTGCAAAAGTAACTGCGAGTTTAACTCAGATACAACTTTCTTAAAATTTTGAAAAGTTGTTACGCAGCAGTATGCCTTAAAAATACTTAGTAAAAATATCTTGTAGTAGTTGAATCACACCAATACCTCACTACAAGATCCATTTAACATTTTTGTGAAATATAATTTAAGACATCAAAACATACTACACATTTTTTATTAATTAATGAAAAATGTAGCAAACCCTAGAAAATAAGGCCCCAATGGTACACTTTTTCGCAATATCACTATCTGTTAACATCTGTGAAAATATTTCTGCTACATTATTAAAGGAAGCTGCTATGTCATTAAAGGACCATAAAAAATTAAGCTTTAAAGGGCTGTTCTTGGGTTAAAAAGTTCGAAATGTGTTTACTTTTGGACATTAAATGAGATATTGATATATTATTTTCACCTGCATTATTTATGGATACAAAATTCTACATAGATGTTTCTTTTAAGCAGCATGCCTTTGATTGTGTAGAAGTGTTGATTGTGTTCAACTTTTAAATTGACTTTCTTCATTAAAATGCATTAATCTTACAATGTACCCACATGAACAGAACACAAGTGATAACGAAAAACAAGCATGCACAAGGATGAATGCTGGAAAAGCAAAGAAAAAAAATTAATAATAATAATCGAGTGGAGTCGAGAGAACCGCAATACCCGCATTGTGTGAATTAAATAGATGTCACACCTAGGAGGAAAATCAGTGATACACTATTGACAGTCGAAACTGTTTACAAATCAACATTCATTAAAGCTAAAAACATCTCTCGAGTGGAATTCTTTGTTCTCAAGGTAACAGCACACCTGACAGCAACTACAGGGGGAAAAGTTTGCTTGACATCTATTTTTTGGGTGGTATTGGGTATTACCAGAAATTCTAAAAATTGTGAGAAAAGTGCATTTCTGCTTTTTCAAAGAATTTTTTCATCCCTGTCTACAATTTAATTACTAATTTCAAACCAAAACAATATTGAGAAAGATAATAGATATGTAGCATTAACAAAAATGGTTAGATGCTTGTAAATTGAGCGAAAAAAAAATAAAAATTACCCCTATTTCTTCTTTTAGAGAGTTTTGATCAGCAGGTTTTATATTTCGAGGAGCAGTACCAACAGGTCGTATAAACACATGCTTGTCTAGTCCAGCATTGGCTCCAATGGGTGAATTGATGGAACTCTTTAAAGATACAGTATCTTTGCAAGGAGTAATTTCTTTCTTTACAATTATTGGCTCTGAATTTACAGATATTGAAGAAGATGGAGATTTGTGAAGCTGATCTTGAGCAAAATCTTTTACTTTTTCATTTATGAGTGGTAATTTTACTTTAGAAGACTTGGAGCTGCGGCCATGCTGTTTGTTTAGTATCTGTAATAAGATAGAAGTTTAAAAATTAAACCTATACAGATAAATTACAAAAAAACCTTGATGAGAAAAATATACTTAGTATAATGATACTAAACCATAAATTAGAAAACTGGATTTTTTTTATAGCTTTGATTTAAATTTTTTTGAAAGTCATGTTTATTTTCTATGAATGTATTTGTTTTTCAATGAGTATTTTTTTTAATCTGAATATAATTTGATTTTAAAGGAGAGTGAGATATTGAACAGTTCAAAATGTGAATAAAAGTTATGTCATCAGATAAGATTAGTATCGTATAAACTTGAAAGATGTTAAGACAAAGAAACGAATCATACAAAAAGAAAAAAAAATTTGTAAATTTTATTTTCAAAATAATTTTGAAAACACAGATTATTTTAAGATATTATTAATTCTTAACCTTCTATTATGTTCTTGCTCAGGAATATCTGGCATGCATTAACACTTAAAAAAATTTCCCCTTTTGGAAGCTTATTAAAATTTCCCAATTATAAATGTGAAACATTTGTTACAGTTTACAAATATCAAAAATTGAGTGATGAAAATGTTATGCTTGCCTCAACATATTAGTTTAGCTATTAACGTTGAGAGATTTTAATGAAATATATTTTCAACATAATGCATATTACAATAGATTTAAAGGTGAGTGAATAGTTTTAAGAGAAAAAAATTCAGATCAAGGATGCATCAAGATTTTTTAACACAATACACTGATTTTTCTCATAACACAATTTCATAGCATATAAATTTGATTAATAATCTGAAACATAGACGTTGGTTTAAAGCAATGGCTTAACAGTGGTCATTACTCCATAAAAGGATGACTAAGATATATTTCCACATTTTCCATTGATATTTATGTTAGATTAAAAAATAATTTTTTATCTGGATTTAAAGTTAATTGCAGCATTAAAATTCTCTTTGAACTTTATTTTTACTCCAATCACAATACTTTTTAAAGCAGATTGTTTTTCTTTTACTTAAAATTTAAAAGCCAACTGGCGTTTTGATTTAATTTCAGATATGTGTAAAGTTTCTACATTTAATTATTTACAATGAGAAATGGTACCATAGCTTAAATGTGAAAAGAAAAAAAATTACGTTAAAACATAGTAACTAAAACAGTTAACAAATTAGACTATTTGTTCCATTAATTGAGATTGATTGTCTAGGCAATCAAATGATAAAATCTTTTAATGATAAAATCTCGACTTCGCATGCAGGTCGTTGGGCTACCTAAGCGGGGGTGCCATCCCCTCTGCAGAGGATCAAAATTGTGATGGCATGTCTTCGGATCATCCTCAGGGATGTTTCCCACACCGTCGCCAATAGCCCATTGTGCAGCTCTAGTGCGACGTAAATGAACTACAACAACAACAACTTTATGCAAAAAAAGATAATCTTGTAGAATATCAAAATTTCAAATCTTAGAGTATTAATTAATACCTGTTTGCTTTTAGAATCGGTGAAGTACACTTGTGCCATTTCACACAATTTATTAAGCATGATGTTCATTTCTGAAGCAGTGCGTTGTGATGTATCTGTATCTTTCTCATATTGACTGAATATTGCTTCTGGAGGTTCAAACTCATATTCAAGGACAATTTTTGCTGGTTTTCCAAGCTAAAAATAAACAGAATCAATCAATGAGATTAAACAGATTTAATTTGAATAAAGATATAAAATTTATCTAAATTAATATTATTTCTTTAATATAGTTAAGAACTAAGCAGTAATAATATAAATTCAAAGCAACAAAGAAGTAGTACTTTTTATCTTATCAAATCTATGAAAATATTATAGCTCTATGTAAGATGTCAGAATGAAGCCATATTTTAGTAACATAATAGCCAAATGAAATTATAACTCAGCTTTATAATGCTTTGGGAGAAAAGCATTATGGGAAAGCATGTTTAAGGTGAACAGTTTAGCTAAAGTAAAGAAAAAACTAAATTTTTTGAGAAACTAAACCTTTTGCTTACAGGGATTAGCAAAAATGGTACATTCTGTTCCATCAGTTGTATAGGCCATAAACAAAAGATTAAATGGCAAAAAATCAGTTAAAAATTACAAAAATACTTTTTAATTTAAGGACTTTAACTTTTATTAAACTTTCTAATTTTTACATAAATTGAAATCATGATTAGTAAGTATCTCTGGACTGTTCTGCCTTCCAAGAGGCCTGCACTTGTTCATATTTCAAGGCATTCTTCATTATTGGAGATACCTTTTTTCTCAATTGGACAGCAAGACTTATTATGCTCAATAAAACAAATACAAGAAAGTAATTTTAAAAAAATTATGATTGCACAAAATCATAACTTTTTCTTATAAGTTTAAACTTATGTAATTGTCAAAGTGCTCTCATAATATTGATTTGCAGATGGATGGAATAAACTTACTCAAACTTTTAAAATGGTATCTTAGGAAGCAATTATAAATTTTTCAATTTTATTAATTTAATTTTTATCACATCTAAAATGCATCAGAACTGTTTAATTTGCATTGCATACAAGAAACCTTTTTATTGCATTTCAAAATGCATTTATCAGATCAGAATGTAATGAGCTGATTAAAATAAAACAAAAATGAATAAAGAAGTCAATCTTTTAAAGAAATCAACTACTTACCAACAAATATATTTCCCCAAATGTCAAATAACCAGCATCTTCTGTGGTCCAACCATTTTTGATAGTTTTATAATAAATACTATCACTTTCAGCCTGCTCTTCTACGTTGATAGTTTGAGATGAATCAAGAGGCAAATCATTCTTTTGACAAGCTTCAGAAAACAATTGACTTGCCTTAGAACTAGAAGCATCACCAAAATTGGCATTTTCAGAAATATTCTGACAAAGGATGTCTTTTTCACTCTCAGACTTCTTGGAAGATAGGGTATCTTCAGAAAATGTTGCCAACTTATCTTCATTTGGCCGTAAACTATCAGTAGAAAGATTATTCAGTTTCTCTTCATATTTTTCAATATGATCATACTCATTATTATTATTATTATTAGACAATTTTTTATTAGTTGACTCTAATATAGAAGAAAAAGATGGGAGAGGATTTGGAATTTCACCTTGCGTCTCATTTGATACTTCCTCGGGAACTGATTTTGGAGGAGTTAAAACATTAAAGTATCCACCATCATCAGAGTTATTTCGGTTTAAAGATTTTAAAAACATGTCTTGCATGTCCGAGGGGGTATTATCATTACAATCAAGAGCAACATCTAAAACGGCTTCAGATTTGTCGGTTGCTGTTTCACAAATTTCATTCTGCTTATCGTTCAAAATTTTTTGATTTAGACATAAAGATTTTTTCGACTTAGTAGTGTCTTTACGAACAGTATTATGAGAAAGCTTAATAAATTTTTCAAGGCACACATCTGAGCTTGAAGCTACATCCATGACAGACAGTGAGAGAGGAAAAATCTTAGCATCTCTGGGGGGCTTGACTCGGAGTACTGGTGGAGAATCATTATCACATGTTTCTTGAGATGCAAGACAAGGAAGACTAGCTAAAATTTGCTCCTTCTAAAAAGTAAAAATTACTACAATTCAAAATAAATAATAAGCTCTAATAAAAAAAAATTTCATTTAAGCCATAAAAGTCATTATGCTAATCATTCCAATAATTTTGAAAACATGACAGAAAATATAAAGTTTAAGACAAAACAAACAAAAACAATTTTTAAAAATATATATTCTAGTTTTTTAAAATCCGGACAATTCTTTTTAACTAGTGATAAGAAAAATATTATCTAAATTAGGTATATAAGAAGGTAGGATTAAGAAATTTGCATTCCGTAATAATATTGTATAAAAAAAGATGGTTTTAAAAATCATATAGAAATCCATAGCAATTACTGCTGAAAAAGAAGTAGAGAAAACCATATGGATTTAAGATGAAACTGTTGCGAATCATGTAAGTCAGAAAGTGATTACTCAAATGTGCTTGTCCTAATACAATCAGACTTTTAAAGATATGGGGATTTTCAAAATGTTTAAAGCACCATATTAAAATTTTAATTACTCAATTGCGCACTTTAAAATTCACATGCTGTATTAAAAATATCAGAATTTTAAAAACTGTGGAACACTGGTAGAAAAACTATTGGAAAACCACACAAATTAAGCTTGTTAAAAACTATTTAGTGCTTGAATGTACAATTTCAAATTTGTGCATTGCAATTATATTCAATCAAAGGTATATGGATTTAAAAAAAACCATGTAAAAATGAGTTGTATAACAGTCAACATGTAATATGACCTTTTAATTGTCATAAAAAAGTGCATGATAAAAAAAATTACACATTAGCATGGCTTGAAATCCAAGTGTCATAATATAATATTAAAATATCGGGATTTTAAAAACTATTTCGAAATTCATTAAGTAACTGCTAAAAGAATGAGTAAAACCTCATAGGATTACGATTAAACTAAATGTTTTTTTATTTTTCAAAACATGATTTTGAGTCCATAACTTCGATAACTCTACAAGTTTGAGTAGAATATCTAAAATCAAGAATTTTCCGAACTCCTGAGCAGGCAACATTTTTGAGGTTATACTTCAGTAAAAATAAATGGTAAGCTGATACATTTTAAAAACATCTTGAATTTGATGAAAATGTTCAGAAATTTATATTGTTGAAAATTAAATTATCTCTCAATTACAAACAACTAATAATAATTTTACAGAAAAAGTTAATATATGAACAAAAGTGTAAAAAAATTTGTGAGCCAATTCCATGAAATCTTTTTTGTTTCAATATATAAAAAATCTAAAAATTTCTATTGTATACATTAAAATTCGTATTGTTAATGCAAATTAAATACTTTAATTGTTTTCTAGCAAAGTATATTTACAGATTATATAACGTTAATATATTTCGGGAAGATGAGAGAGGGATAAGACATTTATCAATTTTTAATTTCTACCTCTCTTACTAGATGGAACACAGCCATGTCATCACGCTTATTGCCGTTGATCATTTCAATTATATGCAATGATTTTATGAGACAAAGAAGATATTTTATAAAACCAATCACAATGAAAGTTTTCAAACCCATTCAATTGTTGTTAAAATATTTACTTTTCATGTTTTGAAAGTCAAAAATAGTAATTGTTATTAATCAGCAGTTAAGAAAAATCTAAAAGCCACGCATGCTTCATATTATTTTATTTTATTTAATGTTTAGTAAAGAGAGGGTCGGAACAAACTTTTAAATTTTCATCATTTAAATACATTTTTGATTGTAAGGATAAACTTATAATAGAACCAAGTATTATAATGATATTTCCAGCATTAACACTTTTGATTTTGAAAATTTGTATACCAGTATACCACATGAAAAAATTATTGAGATTTGTGAAGGTATTTATGACAAGTATTTATTTGATGAAAAAATTGATAGGTTTAACTGGTTAGATTTATGCAAGTTTAATCTTTTTGAGAATGTTCTTTTTAATGGTTTAGATTTTTATAAACAAATTATTGGAATTCCACAAGGTAATTCCTTTTCTGGGGCTTTTGCCAACATTTTTTTGCACTTTTTTGAGGCTAAATTTCTTGAACATAAAGTACTTAATGCTTTCCGATACATTGATGATTTGATTTTGTTTAATTGTGACGATTATAATTTTATTTATACAATTTATCCTGGTGATTTGGTCCTGAAAAAAACTAATGAAAATTGCTTTAATATTGAATATTTAGATTTTAAAATTGATATTGTTAACAATTTTATTAAAATTGGTGTGTTTGATAAAAGAAAAGCCTTTAATTTTAATGTTATTTTTTTCTGCAACTTTAAAACTAATTTGTGTAGTAAAATATTCAAAAATCTTGTTTTTTCGCAATTAGTTAGGATCAAGAAAATTTGTAATAATGTTGAAAGTTTTCGAGAAGCTGTGGATAATTTTTTAAATAATTTGAGTAAAAATGATTTTCCTTTTAATTTTTGTAATGTTAATTTTTTAATTAAAAAAATGATTGATGGTTTTTAGGTTTTTTTTATATTTTTTCTTTTAACAGGGCGCAATTCTAGTCTTAACTGAGCAGCCCCAGTTAAGCATTCTATTAATTTATCTACGTATCTCCTTCTCCTGACCTTTTCATATCATTTTTAAACTTTTACTGCGCATTATTATAGGGGGCGTTGTTTTTCAGTTTTTAGTGTTTTCTTTTCCTCCGCTTTTGAAGTTGATTCTTGACCTGTGACTGTGAGTTTTTAATTTTCTGATGATTTTTATTGATTTTCTTTTCGTAATTTGTTTATTCTTTTGAATGTATCTTGTTTTTCCTGGACCTCTATACAAAACCATCGGGGTACTGAGGGAGATATTTTAAGCTTTTGCTTCTCCCTCAAATAGAAATGGTTTTGGTTTTAATGGCTACCGAGGCCGGTACCCCCTGAAGACGTCGGTTTCGGTGGTCATATTTTTATTTTATTTCATTTATTTCTTGTATTGATACTTTTTTCTGAAATTTCTGCTGCTTCTTAGCGCGTTTTTTTCAAAGAAGTTTTATCCTTTTGATCTTAATTATTTCTGTTTTCTTTCAGTATTTGTCATTAAACTTATATTCAAGTATATTGAAATGTTTTAAGACATTATTCTATACTCACAATAGAAATAAAATTAAAATGAATATTTTTGTAAAAAGTGAGTGAAATTAGTGTGTATTAACTATAGTAAATCACAAAATAAATGCACTTAGTTTGTAAAATACTACATTAAGCACCATTTTTTAACAAATAAATGGCCTTCATGAAACAAGTAAGCGTTAAATGTTCTATGTTTAATAATGCAAAATAAATAAATCTTAGATGTTTTAAATAATAATAAAATAGTGTAGAATTCCAGAAAGACAAAAAATAGAAAACTCATAAATCTATTTGGTCATAAGATTTTTATTCCTCCTGTTTCGGACTAGAATTTGAATACTTGAAAACTGAAATGAATAAAAAACTAAAATTAAAAATAAAAAAAAAGAACTTCTTTAATCTCATGTCAACATAAGACACGTACATTAAGAATACTTTTTGTTAATCATGCCAAACTATTAAAAAAATTAAAATAGCAACACTATTATTGAACATTTTTCTGGGATAGAAACATTTTTTAACAAATCAGGTAAAATGAAAAATGAATCTTAAAACATGAGAAAATTTTATACAAAATTTTTGAATTATTTACATAATTAAATTTGAAATTCTATTTTTAAATAAAAGAAATAGCATAATCATTCAAAACATAAAATATTTAAGTTATAGCAAACATACCCTTTTCAGTCTATAAGGTTTCCATCTCTGCTGCAAAAATTCTATCACAGGTTTTAAACGTTTCTGAAGAGATAATTTTGTTCTTACTCTAGGATTTTGTGCTAAGCTTTGTACTTGTAAAAAAGCTGAATTTGTGTGCGGCTGAAATTCAACAATTATTTCTTTTGGCAATTTTTCAGTTTCAGGCTCTTTTGTGTCTGTAAAAAAAATTAAAGTCTTACATTTATTTATTTATATATACATATATATACAGTCAAACTCGTTTATAACGAGCACAAGGGGACTGTAACACTGAACTCGTTAAATCCAAGTGCTCGTAATAAACGGGTCCTTAAGGCAGGCGTGCAACCAGAAGAGTGGGGGGGGGTTGGGGAGGTCAAAAGATTGAATTTACTTGAAATTTAATTAATACCTACTTACTTTAATTACATTAATTAATTTAATTAAATACTTTTCTTAATTTAATGACAACTAACCACCTCCCCCAACCAGCAAAAAATTTCCAGTCTAAGGAAAGAAACAATAAACGGAAAGAAAAATAAAGGTAAAGATAAGGGCTACTAAGTTTCAGTCCGCGATTTTTTTTTTTTGTTTTTTTTTTTTTGATTTCGCATGCATTTCTTATCATGCTGAAAAAAAGATTAGACAGAAAAAGATTGCAAGACAGAAAAATATTGCTCGCTAAAACCGGGTCTTGCTCGTTAAAAGCGACTTCTGTTCCATAGATTTAACATTGATCAAACCAAATATTCTCGTTTCCCTCGGTAAATCCGAGTTCTCGTTAAATTTGAGCTCATTATAAACGAGTTCGACTGTATATATATATATATACATATGAACAGAGTGCAAAAAAAGAATATATCACCCTAAATAACCTTCATTTCAATGATTGGATTTTCATGTACTACGTGTCAATCCTAATGGTTTTTGAGGGAGACTTCATATACACTAAATAATCAGTGCTAACTATTAAGTTACAAAATTAGACACAAAAATTCACTTTCTCTGAATAGAAGAGCCCTAAAAAAAGAGGCCAAGAAATATTTCCAAAGAAGGAGGAATTTAATATAACCATACTCCAATTGCGTAATCGATAAGAGAGAAATACTCTGTTGCTAAGCTGAGAGAATAAAAGAGAACGGAAGAAAAAAAAAACTGAAGCCCTTCATCGTTTTTGTGTTAACTTGGTTCAAAAATGCTTTTTTCCCACTTTTTAAATAGTTAATCAAAAATATCTTGAAGATTCTAGGCAACAGATTTGTTTATAGTTGATTTCTGCTCAAAATTTCCTCTCCTTTAAAAATAAAATTTTATTTGATTTATAAATTATTTACAATTTTCCAAGATTTAGATACTTGAACACATGAACTTTTTATAAAGCATTATTTGTATTTCATAAGATGTTTTGCATTTCTGCAAGAATTTGGAAGACTGTATACTAAACCAAATTTGTGGAAGATTTTATACTAAAACCAAATTTGCATTTCTAATTAAATAAAGAGTATACAGAGTTGTTGGGCAAATACCTGAAAAAGATTCCTTAAAAAATGCAAAATATCTGGAAGAGATTATAATGCGCATTCACAAGGTTTTATATAATTCTTGATATTTCTTTTTTTATATATAATTGAAGAAATTAGAGAACGTTACATGACATTTTATAAAAGATTGGAATATTTATGTTTAAAAATATTGTATGATTAGTTTTCTAAACAAAAAAAAAATTTAAATTTTTTGAAAATAATAATTTACAGATGTTTGCTTCTTTCAGCGTAGGATTCTGATCAAAACAATGAACAAGAAAGATCCAAATGTAACACATTTTACTTGATAGCAAAAACTTCATTGCCTTAAAAAAATATAAAGAAAATAAACTCCCATTCTTAAGACTGGCATGACAGGAATAAAAAAATAATATGAAACAGAAATGTGACGTTGCAACAAGAAAATATAAAAGTGGAAAAAAAAACTGCAAAAACCACAGCACCCCAAGAGTGAAATAAAATAAAAAATTAAATAAAAACAAAACTAGAAAAATCGCAACATTTGGGAACGGCAAACCAGGACCAAATGTATTTCCTAATGCCATGGAGATAGGGTGCGAAACTAATCTCGTCAACAAGGGAATCGGCATTCATAGGAATAAAACAAGATTCCCAAGTACCAAGATGAGCTGAGAATTATGGCATTATCGAGATTAAATTTATCCCCAAGATGCAAAGACTGTGCAGCATTAGATTTATCGTATTCTTGTAAAAGGACTTATCTATGGCGTTCCTTTAGTTTAAATTTTAAAACCTGTCTGATTCATGCAATATAGCCAAGGTTGCACTGGCAAAGTATTCATTGTCTATTTCACTCACTGCTACCACATTTTCTCTATTTTTTTTTTCATTTTCATTTTCCATTTTTTTCGTTGGCAACCATAAATTTTTTTATTTATTTCAAATCACTTTAGTTTTCTTCATTCATGTCTGCGAAGTTTTAAATACCGGTGCCTATTTTTGAGCGTGCTAAATATTTACTCCAAACATTGCCATTTTCAGGGCTTGCTAGACGTCAATGACATATAACGTGAATTTTTGAGCATCAAAACAAGTTGACTTTTATTAACATTTATATATTTTTTTAAGATAATTAAATTTTTATCTTCACACCTCAGTTTCTGGGGATTATTCATTCAGTGACACAGTATATTAAATTAAAATACTTAATGCGACATTAAAATTAGTGTTACAAAACATAATGGTTATGGCTCTTAGATTAAAAAAAAGCATAGTAATATATAACTAGTCCAAACGTTTTCAGAAATTCAAAGCAGTACATTTTAATTTATTCATCTTTTGTTTTAAAGTGATTCACATTTTCATGAAAATAAACATAAAAATTAAATTATATCACAAATATATCCTAATATTTTTTATGCATTTTATAATTTTAATGGATATTTATACATTGTTATTTGTTTTTCAAGTAGAAAATATACTAATTTACAGATATATTTTTAAATGAGAGGTTATTATGAATATTTTACGCTTCATTAAAAAAATTTTTAAAAAATACTGGGAGATCAATAGTAATGTTACAAACATTATAGTTAGAAATTAATAGGTAGCAGGATCAGACAGATGAACATTAGCGTACATAGCGTGATGTCTAAAAGCAAACACCTTGCAACAATTGTGGGAAGGGTTCAAGGCAGAGGAGGGAGCATTATGGTCAGAGGAATACTTTTGTGGCATTCTTTGGAACTCATCATTGTGGAAGGCACGATGGATCAACATACGTACACACCTGTCTTAACAGACCACTTCCATCAATACATGCTAATTGTTTTCTTCAGGATGATGGCACCTACTAGTAGGACAATGTGAGACATACTGCTCGAAGAGTAAATGCAGGGTTTGAAAAGAAAGAGGATGAGTTACTTCCCTGACCACCAAACTCCTCAGACTTAAACAAAATTTGAAGGGACTTAAAAAACTTACTGGACTTGTAGTGATTAATGTGACTGGAGTGAGTATAAGTATATTTCTAAGGAGCCGATAAGTATTTGATTGTGCTACTATAATTTTAATATGTAAAATTTTGTCAACTGCATGGTCTCAGAAAAAAGTTTGACTGCACTTTTGAACAATTTTGTCCTTTGCGTTGGACTGATACTGAACTGTAATGGGAAACAGTTTTGCAAGAAATCCCTCTTTTCTTGTTAGACTAAAAAACGAGAATTGGAAAATAGAAATTATAAATTACCAGCATATGCTCATTTGATAATTTAGTTTTTTTTTTAAAAAGGAACTTTGATCTTAAAAAAATGAGATAAAACAGATTAAAATAATAAAAAGGTACTTTAAGGAACCAACTCTAAAAATAATGGAGGCATCATGAAGATAAGGGTGTGATGATAAGACATACTGATGGTGTGTGCACAAATTCAGAAAGCCAATTAGTCTAATTTAAGTGATAACAGCTTTTTCATTACTTAATTTAAAAATCATTTTTTACAAAACTAGAAATGATAAATTCCATTTTTCATATAAAAAGGATGAAAAAAGAATTAAAAATTGCAGATCAAAAATTAATAAAATCTCTGTGTGCATTGTACACATTTACAATGTAGACACAGAATCACATTAAATATAATGAAAAATATGACAGAAACACATTTTTAATATTTACTGAAAATAGATTTTTCACCAGTAATAATTATTCATAAAAAATGATCAATGCTGAAAGAGCATAAAGTATTCTTAAAACATAGATGATACATGGTATAATTTATCAAAAACTGATCATATTACGTACGAAAAATGATATTATAAATTACCTGAAACATCATTCAGTTTCTTCAAAGCCCGACACACTGGTGTCTTAATTCTCAGTTTCTTACCTTTGTGTTTGACAATTGTAACCCTAAAGGAAATGAAAATAATAAACTAAACAAATTAACAATCTTCAACATTTGTAAGTATTTCTTACGATGTCAAAAAATATTTTAATCTTTTCATAACCATATAGAAGTGTATAAACTTACCCACTAAAAACAAGTTCATTCAGTTTTTGTCGATTCTTTTCATTTAAGCCTATACAAAAAGGAAAAATAAAAAATAAGAATTATATGCTTTTGAACTAATATAATTATACTTTTAACTATTTCTCACAAATTGATGCTTTGCTATCTCAAGTAAAAGCATAAGATCTAATCAGAGATAAATTTAAGCTTCTTTCCCCTCCCACTAAAACAAGAATGTTACTACCCTGATAAAATTGCACTAGAAGCTACATTTAAATCTAACATAAAATTGAAAGCTACATTTAAATCAAACATACAATAAATTCTGAAAATACATTCTAGTCTGAATATATTGTATCGTTATTAATATAACTTTATACTGCTTTAAAACTTTTTATAATCCTTAATGAGAGTATATTTGATGCATAATAACTTTAAGCTTAAAAGAGTTAAATTATAAATAACTTTATTATGGAGCAAAAACAAAAAGATAGAAACAAAACAGAAGATAATATGCAAATTTTTGTCCATGAAAAAAGTTTCCCACCCCCGTTGAGTGGGCACATTTTACTAATATTCATGCTATTTGTGGAGCAAATAGTGCCAATTTTTACAGGTATTAACAACAAATGCTGAATGCAAAATTCTTCCACTGGGTGGCACAAATATTTACACAGTTAAAGGAACAACACTCTCCTTATGTTAAACACATTAAACCCTTCTTTATAGCATTAATTTGTAAAATCATTCTAATAGGGAGGAAACTTATACATCATGTCTATGGGTAAAAGCTAAACTTCAAGAAATTTGAGTTTTCATAAGTTGGCTATTTGATCATTGAAAGAAACTATTGAAAGAATGTTTAATTTAATGTAAATGTTGACGACAAGAGTTTTGTTACAATTTGAGAACTTGAGTTGACATATACACCAGAAAATATAAATTACTATATAACAAAACATAGTAGTAAAACTATTGCAATATAGAAATACTAATACAACAGCCCTTTGTTATGTTTTTACATATATGATTTCAATACACAATACTTTATCTTTAAGTCAAAATTTATTTTATATATATATATATATATGATCATTTTACAACAATTTTTAGAGAATAATCAAACCATAGTGATCAAACTAAT